TCTAGTTGTCTTCACCCAGGGCACTGGATGAGATGCGGCCCAAGCCAGACAAGAATACTCTCAGCCTGGGTCCTCAATACTTACCAAGACTAGAGAAAACACGTCGCGAGCAAGGAAGAGCACACACGCACAGTGAGATAGTAGTAAGGAGAGCAACAGATGTAACCCGAGTCAATCAGCTGTCTAGACTAGAGCCGCGTCGATGCTGTCGCAGTGCTGGCTGGATCGCCCATGCCTGCCAAGTGCCATGTGTTCTAGCTCTGCTGGTGGAGCTCCGGAGGCGATGGAAGCTTGCGCGATTTCAACCCTCTGATTGGCTGGCAAACCAGCTGATCGTGGATCCAGTGCGCCTGCGCGACGGCCGACCTCCGGACACGAGAATATGTCTGTCATATCCCAACTTTTTTTATGCATGGCGCTGTTCCTTGCAGTCGCAGTGAGGCATATGCACAAGTCAGCTGAATCGTACTTCTCTCTTCTCACGCAGTGTCTACGACGCATGCCCAAGAAAGTGAAGAGACAGGAGTGACTTTTTTACTGCCAGCGGTTGACACATGGCTCCACCACCACTAATCACACTCAGGTATCCAGACTCTAGCTCAGTAGCTGCTTCACTCTCGGCCCCGGACAGGGAGGTCCGTGATTGGCTGGCTGAAATTTGACGAATAGCAGCTCGTGCGACCCGTGTCACATGACATCGCCCACTGATCCTGCTGCAGTGCAGTGGCATAGCCTAGACAGGCCTAGTCTGAAGTCGTGCAGAGCCAGTGGCCGAGTAGAGGCGTAACATATTGATCATACCACTAATGGGCATACAATCATGATTGTTCTAGTAAGCCTACGCTAGAGCATGACGTGACGGACCAGGCTCATCATACCTCGGAGAGATAATTCGCAATGATAAGCCGGCCCGGCCCATCCCTTTTGAGCGTGTCTTGTTCTACAGCATGCACATATTGCACTGTTATAATTGACATCTGAATGTCACCTGCTATTTCCATGGACGCAAAACGCACGATCAGGGCGCCAGACCTAGCGCCAATTATTTGAACCCATCACTGATACATGTACACTACACTACACTACACTACACTACACTACACTACACTACACTACACTACACATGATGGTAAAAGTGAAGTTTAGCTAATAGGAGTAGCATACAGTAATAGATACAGTCATGTACATGTGTGACAAGGAGATTTTTTTTACTAGCGCTAGTATCCCAAGCTGAAACTTTGAAAGCACTTGGTGATAGGTATGCAACCAAGCGTCCGAAATGGCACTACATGTACATGCTGTACATACGACCGTCGTAGAACTGGCAACATGCAGTATAAATGCACGGTGTCAGTGGCATACAGTATGTGGCTTTATAACAATACTTTACTTGCACACCTTATTTCCTCAACTAAGCTCAAGCAAGCCAAGTCTTTGCGTTCTGTTACTGAAATTCAGGTCAGCGAATCAATAAGACTTCGTAATAATTAGTTGGAGTCAGTGCACCAGTGCTAGGGTAGGGGTAGTGCTGTCAACTGCTGCATGGATCATGTGCTGCTAAGGCCTACTGCCAGTAATGGATTGGTGGTGGTAGTGGTGATGCATGGTCACTGACTCGTGGCGGTGGAGCACACACCAGGTGGCAATCACGCGATACCTTGCAGTCTGGAATGCGTGGAGCATCCGCTGAGCCCTCACAGGCCACACACAGACTGCTCTTGTGAGAAGCACGCATCTGTCGTTTGTCGTGACTCAAGACGCCAGGCTGCGCGGCCCTTGACTGGCAAAGCTGCAGAAGCCGAGAAACGCCTCTTTTCGAGTACTTGTCGCACTGCACGTTCTTTACTTATAGTTATACAGTCAGGGTTACTTTATAGGAACAAAATTTATTAGTCTGCGTGTAGTCTACGGTCCAAGAACAGGGGCGTACGCAGGATCCGGAATGAGGGGGGGGGGGGGGTGCTCCAACATTTTCCCAAAGAACCGAATAATGCATTATTTCTGTGCGTTTGATACACGGATGGTTGATATCTTGATGTTTACTTACCATGATTTACCAAGTCGAGGGAAAATGTAGGAACTTTTCTGTAGGATGGAGCAACCACGAGGCCTTGAAGTCACCCAATCCCAAATATACCCCTCCATTTGGAGGACAACATGACTGTACTTCCTCTGTAAGCTATGTCCAAGAGTACACTACTCTTGCTAGATCATAATATCACGAATCCATTTTCAATTTGACTAATGTACTTTGAAGTACTAGAACAACTTACGATACTTCACATATTGAATGGGGCGAGAAGGCAAAGGTACCATAACAACTTCTGGCAGAAGTCACAGAAAAAGCTCCCAGTAGTTTTTGTACACTTGCTTTAGGTATGGAGAAATAGAATCAGGTAATAGAGAATCTAAGAGAAAGCAAGTGCAATGGATGGTGGTAGCTTCACAAACAGGATAGTAGCAGAGGGCTGCCACATTTCTGTTGGTAGAAATCAGAAGCAGTGTCTGAGGTGTTCAATGGCTGGATGGCAAGGGGGCAGCTACCCCTTTAGGAGCCATAGCATTTTTAGGATTTCAAGGGCCCGAAACAACAGATTAGTACACTTTCGTGAACAATCGTTTTCAGTCGGTTTGTCGGAACAACTGATCGGAGTGTTCCCGGAAAATCGGAATAGAATAAGTCGAGGCCCCTGACAATATGGATAACCCTCTGTCCTGCCACATGAAAGTACATGTAACATGGTGAGCCATGATCAACTAGTGACGACAGCGAGTGGAAAGCAAAAAATCTGTTAGAAAAATCTGATAATTGTGCCATCAAAAATGGCGTTCAAAAGTCTGATTTATGAACATCCCCATTTCACAATGAAGTTTACTACAATATCAAATTCAATCACATCTCAATGTATAGCCTCACTCAAGACCTTTCCAATGGGCTGTCATTTGCGTGAATCGGACAATCGGTTGCAAAGTTATGGTACTTTTAGCACCATGGGTAAATCAAGTTGGCCTACATGTATGTATGTCGAACATTTTGAGGGGGGTGCTTCAGCACCCAAAGCACCCCCCCCCCCCCCCCCCCCCCCTGGGTACGCCACTGAAAAACGCGACATGTCGCAACATCGCGGGTGTGAGCAACAAAACCCAAACTACAGTAGGCTGCATTATGATGATTATTCATGGTAGGAAGCACCGAAGGCAAATGTTTACACGTTACCCGTACTGCTGTACTGCTGTACTGCTGTAGTTGTCCAGCATGCTAGCACTGGAATGATTATAACTGCTTGATACTACAGTCAAACCTCTTTAGTTTAGGACGAACATCAAGGGAAAGATGATATTTGTTCGCAATAACGGGAGTTCTTCTTATCCATATGTTTTACCCAGTGGATACTGGATACACAGGGTTTTATCCAACACAGGTACGAATACTAGGTCTTCTCAGGCAAACATTTGTCTTATCAGTCAGTGTTCTTCCTAACGAGGTTTCACTGTAGTATTTTCCTTGGGGTGTTCAGATAATAATGACTGCTGTGATACCGACATTCAACATCAATATCACTATGGCAGTATCAAGCTTATAATTTCCAGTGTTGAACAACTACTGGTTACTTGTAAACCTTTGGTCCTTTCTCCTTAATTTAAACCTCGGCTCTCCATGGTAGGTCTACATGCTTTATAATTATTGACCTGATTATATCGGGTGCTAATTCTATCATATTACTCCGTACAGGTAACTTACATCTAAACTCACTTACATCTAGTGACTCAGGCCAGTCAGGGAATTGTTCAGTCGCGGCTATGCTCTACAGTACAGTACTGATATCAGAATACAAAAACTAGTCATGTGACTACTGTACATGTACTTCAAGTACGCTTCACATGTCAATAGTCTTGTCGTGGCTTATCATGTTTATACGCCCGATGAAGAGAGCATGGGGGGGGGGGGGGTATTGTACATAAGCGGAGAGGGCGGAGAGCTTGTGCCGAGACATCACTTTGACAGCACGATCCGGGGTGGATTCGTTGCAGAGCCACGGCTGCTCGTGATTGCCATGGTGGAAAGGGGTAATTGACCCCATCGTCTCAGATTACAAGCCATAAGGGTAATACTGAGGAATTCTCAGTGTTAGCTCAATAATATGGTGAGGATCTGCAAGTCAAGCACAGTATAGTCATTGCACCTTCAAAGAGGGGACATGTACTGGCATCATGGGTCAACATTCTCCAGTAACGGAGTATACAGTGCAATCAGGATCCGTGACCATACATGTACATTTATTAGTACATGATCACAGTCTCCTCCCTTTCTAGCTCTAGCTCTGTAACTCTAGCTCTCTGTTTGCCAGCCGCAGTGACTATTCTAGACAGTACACTATGCACCCGGACTGGCCTGAGTAGGGCATTACATACAGGTTTGAACCATGCCACCCCCCCCCCTCTCCGGCCCTGTACAAGGTCGTAGCACCCGGTCTGGCCTCGCAGTCCGGCCATGACCCGAAAATGTAGACCAATCCAATTAGTACAAAAATGGGGCTTTTCGTCAATTGTTCATCAAGTTATTATTATTATTATTAAATTTTGAATAGGGCAGTCCCACAGGCCTTTGATTTCCGGTCAAGTACTAGTTCCTTTGGCTGGAACACCTGAAATACAGTCACAGGCCACATGCAATTCTGTATGGTCTAAGTGCATTTCTTTTTTAATTAAACCTTCGGCTACAAAGAACTGATTCCACTGCCCAATGGCATTCATTACATCAGAAGTCCACTGTGTCCTGACCCTCTTCTATAATGCTAATACACACCTTACAGTTGTGCAGTTGTGGTCCTCAGTCATTGCGGTCACATCATTCAAGGAAAATTACTCTGGTCAGTGCTTATCCTTCCAGCCCCCCCCCCCCTCCCCCCCTGAACACGCAACACCACCACCAAAGAGAAGAATACGCTTTTCTTGTCCCTGCCTACACCGACCAACCGGCCACCAGAAACTCGTCAGAATCCACATTCAATCACAACCATTTTCCTGTTTGCCATACACCAGCAACAATACACTGACGTCATTGTTATCCTTTCCATGCATGTGAAAGCGCTTCCAGGAAACTCACGCCAACAACGGTGAAATGGTGGCTAACTCAATTCTACACTCTAAGAAGAAGACGAAGAAGAAACAGAAAGCAGATAAAATGGCACAACACTCCAATTCTGAGACACAATGTGAATCATGAGTAAATTCCTGTTACTAATTTCACGAAAAACACAAGCCGTGAAAGGTTGCCCAGCAGCTAGATGTGCGCAGCGGCAAAGCCATAATCACAGTGGAACTAATCACAGTACTACAGTACTACTGTTCATGGAATGATCTCCACATCAGCGCACTGGTAGAAGACAGCAGGCGCATTGGGGTTGCTGGTGACATATGTAACCTGCCAGAACCACAAAACAAGTTGTGTACAGACAGCAGGAATTATGACAAGAAGGGATTTTAGTATCATTTTACACAAAGTTAGGAGAGAGAGAGAGAGGGGGGGGGGGCATTCACATGCCATGAATGAAGTCCGACAATATGTAGGCTATGAACTCATTACTGAAAATACGGGCAAATGTAGCAGTTCGAGACTGGGACTAGTTCCCGGGAGTACAGCGCAAACACCTAGCCAGTGTGTTCTGCATAGTCACACCTGCATCACAGATGCCGATGTACCACGGTCTTTCTCGGGCCATGCCGGGAAAATTTAATGAATGTTGATGGGAGTGTTTTGGCACTCCACCCGTCCTCCCCCTACCCCCTCCTTACCCCGGCTGTGCCCCCCCCCCCCCCCCTGGTATTCCAATCATCTTCCTTCACCAAAACCCTCCTTCAAACTCACCTGAAGGACACCGGTTTCACGCTTCTCAACCCTACAGAACAAAGAAAAGAAAAACAGACACAGCCTTTACCATAGCTCCCTGGAATGCACCTGCCCACATTGGGAATATCAAAATACACTGCCCATGACTAAATTAAAGTCACAACATGGCATGGAAAATATAGCAGCCGATCACAACTTGAGTGATACAATTCACAGCCAGCATCTAACTTTTCCCAGACAACCTCTAATCAAATCTGAACAAGAAGAGAGAGAGAGAGAGAGAGTAAGTTACATTTATAAAGACAGGTAAGTCTAACAAATGAGGACTGAGACCTCTACAACAGGGTTTTTACGCCTGAAAGCAGGTGCATGATTTAACAAGCAGGTTGTCAGTCTAGATTTTATGCGCAGATGGAGAAAAAGCGCAGAATTTTTGTAATGAGATGAAAAGCAGAAATAATAAGAAATAATAAGAAAAGATGAAATGAAAGCCTGCTCACAACCCCGCCCAGCCTTGCGAACTGGGTATGGTGGATTAAGAACCCGGTTCAACGCTCGAGCAAGCGCTCTCCACTCAAGGTGTTCACAGCAACTGATAGGAACTCATATGGGGAAATTATAGAAAAGAAATAATAAGATAGAGAGAATAAATTTCAACGCACCTCAATAAACGGAGCCCCACATACAGTACCTCAGAAAAGGGAGAGAGAGAGAGAGAGAGAGAGAGAGAGAGAGAGAGAGAGAGAGAGAGAGAGAGAGAGAGAGAGAGAGAGAGAAAGAAAGAGAGAGAGAGAGAGAGAGAGAGAGAGAGAGAGAGAGAGAGAGAGAGAGAAAGAGAGAGAGAGAGAGAGAGAGAAATATGACTACAAAAAGAAGCACATGTAATTCAGAGTACAACTTTGACCTTTAGTCACACCTAGTTGTCCAAGACCATCACTAGTGCTGGCATACAGCCCGTTGACTATCATTGCCATTTGTCATAATTGATATTCAGTCATAGTTCTCTTACTTTGGCACGTCAATGGGGAATTCGTACAGCCATGGTGAGCTTGTGTTGGTATCAGGAGTCATACCAATGGCCTCCAGCTTCTGCTCTGTGCCAAAGGCAAAAGCAAAGTGACCCTGCGACAGAGAAAATGACACAACAGGAGCATTCAGATGAATTCTGTTTTCCCACAAGACTTCTACTACTCTCCTGATAAAGTGAAGGAAATAGATGAGTCATCGGTCTGAAGTGAAAAGGAAAAAAGTCTAAAAACCTGAAGAAAACACTTGATTATAAACTGCGCGCTCATGACTATATACACACTAGTAATGTTTCTTTCACTCTCTTTTCTTTCTGCTCACTTGGCAAGTGGAGACTATTAACTTACTTGGTCCGGCTCATCGCAATCGTCGCTTATCTATCGCCACTAAGAACAGGAGTTTTTTTTACCGCTCTGTGAAATTTCCAACAGGCATAGTGAGGAAGCATGATACATGAATACTCTCCGCCAGAAGAAAAAATTTCAGCAATGGAATCAGGTGAAGCAAGTCGAAGAAAGGAAGCAAGGTAAGCAAAATGCACGAAATAAATCAGCGAAGAAGCGCGCTCTTGCACTCACACTAGTAATATAGGTCCAGAGTTCATCCAACTCTGCATCTCCCCCCCCCCCCCCCCCCTGCCGCGCCGTTACATGAGCTGACATTTCCTGGTGTCTAGCTGCTGGCGTAGACTGGTAGAGCATCTCTTGCGTTCTCAGCCTATCGTATGGCAGCAATGGGAAAGAAACAGTTGTGGCTGTCACTTCGGTGCTTGAAGGAACACTGATACAGGCCTCTCCAGACAGCTGTCATATGCTCCGCTGGATACGCTGGCCATAACTCTTGTAATGCAGCTGCTAGGTCCACCAAGCTAGAGAAGGAACAACCAACACGTCGGCCGGGCGCATCGCATCAAAAACACTTTTCTTCTTCAGCATGACGCTCATACTCCTCTGCCATGCATGCGTGCCTGTCACGCTCTCCAGGCCAGGATGTCAGTTTCCCCTGCTACAGTTCCGGTCTTGGGGTCGCTGCGCTTGGCTTTTGGCAACACAGACAGTGAATGGCCAGATTCCTACTTCCCAAAAAAGTCGAATACATCGCGATTCAAAGCGCTAGTCGCGATCATTTTTCTTTGGTGCCTCCTTTGATCTTGCCATCACGATCTCCCAAGCAAAAGTAAGTTAGATATCGTGATTGGACTGGGTTTTACCTGTCAAAAAGTGCGTAGGGATAAGCGACAATTGCGATGAGCCGGACCAAGTAGTATAATATGAGTGCCCCTGAGGATGTGTGACTCTAGAGCATTATTATTTGTATTCATATTCGGTGTTTGCCTCCGCTTCCTCAGTCATCAATCCCCTGATGATGGTGATGGGGCGAAACATTTGCAGCCTTCTTTTTCGATGCAGTTGAGACCCTGTGGCAGAGTATGTAATATGGTCTTGTTTTATTATCTAAAATGCGGCATTTTGTAGCCTGTCCTTTCCTTACCGGCTTCTCAGCATTGAAATGGTTGAGGTTCTTCTGGAAAGTGATGTTGACAGTCTCGCCAGAGCTAGGTATAAACAACAGAAGGATACAAGTTTGAATGGCAAACACCAATTCTCCGAGTCCCAATTTAAAAGAAGGCATATCCACTACACTGCATAACAGATGCAGTAGAGATCGGAGTGGCAATCAGTTTGGTCCAGTACTTCTCCAATGTCTTTCTCTACAGTGAATATGCTAATGCGCAAAGCCAGAAAAGAGACCACTCAGTGGTTCAGTCATATAGATGCTGAGAGCAAGCAACAGTGTGCTGGCAGTAGATCTAGTAGATCTCTGGAGGCACTGGGCTGCTTTTAGTGCCAGCGTGCAAATCTTAAGCCTCTAGCTCTACGAATGAGTACATTCATTTAGGTATACAGTCATTCGGATTATCATATTCCACTTGAGCCAATCAACGATTTTGCTCAGTAGGGAAAGCTCATTTCCCCATGTAATATGATAACTAATATTACAATCTTGCACTCAATGTGATCTTCGAACCTATCCACCGGTAAACAGTTTACTAGAGGTGCACTTCATTTGACCTTTGACCCGACCTTTATAGACCCAAGTACATCAAGTACAAGTTGTAGTACCCTAATATGCATGAGAGGACAAGACAACCTAATATGCATGAGAGGACAAGACAACCTAATATGCATGAGAGGACAAGAAAAAGTACCTACTGTGTACATGTTTATAACAGCCACTTGGGATACGAGAAATGAAGTATTGTCCTTGCACATGGGTATTACCAAGAGTCCATAATCCCCCAGAGTATGCAACTGGGATGGGGTTGTGGGACAGCGTAATCCGTGATGTACGTCATATTTGGGACAGACATTTCACACTCACTTTCCGCACTTTCTCTCGCATCCTTAACTAAGTTACTAGTACATACACAAATAGGAGATCCCCCAGATAGGCGTTAGCCTTTGGGTAATCCTGAAATAAAAAAAGATTATTATTATATTATTATTCTGTCGACGCGGTCCACCACGTCCGCACTTCTCCTACTCACGGTGTCACACTATGATGTGCAACACGGATTTCGTCATCCCAGATCTGATCAGTGAAGTTGCGCACTCTGTAGGATTATGTACTCTTGGTAGTACTAGCTCCAATATCTGCTCACACAGGGTTGGCCCCCATTTAGATAGATTTCAGCTGCTACTGCCCTCATGCTTGGGCAATGCAGTGTAAATCCATGCCCTCATGCTTGGGCAATGCAGTGTAAATCCATGCCCTCATGCATGGGCAATGCAGTGTAAATCCATGCCCTCATGCTTGGGCAATGCAGTATAAATCCATGCCCTCATGCTTGGGCAATGCAGTGTAAATCCATGCCCTCATGCTTGGGCAATCCAGTGTAAATCCATGCCCTCATGCTTGGGCAATGCAGTGTAAATCCATGCCCTCATGCTTGGGCAATGCAGTGTAAATCCATGCCCTCATGCTTGGGCAATGCAGTGTAAATCCAACAATACGATAATTCCTACTCACGGCACTGCCACCATTGGCTGACCACCATGGCGTCCACCGCATGGACCGGTTGTCAAGCCGCAGTCATCAGCACCTGAGCAAATAAACACACACACACGCGCGCACGCGCACACACACACGCACACACACACGCACACGCACACACATACACACACATACACACATACATGTACACACACACACACACACATATACACACACATGCACGCACACGCACGCACGCACACGCACATACACGTTGCAATATGTACATCAAGGAGCCGTAGCATGTACCTAAGGAGAAGATGTGGGATCAGAGCACCCGGAATGATCCAGACGTTCTACAGTCTGGCTGTTCTTCGCAACTCATTCTTCAAAGCGCGAGCGGCTTACTGTCCATTGTCCAAAGTAGCCAGAATATACACTGTAGTGGTCAGTTACTGAGTAGTGCCAGTTAGTGTTCAATCAGTGCAAAGGACCACTTGCCTGGACGCCGGCATTGCTAAGCTGTGTTTGAGTTGCCTGCGGACTCCTCTCACAGAAGAAACTTGGAACAACAACAATGCCTAGATGGAACATTTTTCCTCTTCGCACATTTTCCTTCATTAACTATTCTTGCTCGTCCAGAAAATGATGCAATCAAAGCCTGAAGAAAGTGTTGAGCAATTCAGTCGGTGGGGATAACAGTCGGTGGGGATAACACTGACACCTTAGCTTTGTGGTAGAGAATTGCTAGCCCGTGATCAAGCCGTGTGCTCCCTGCTTCTCGTGGTGAGAGTCAATTTTTCAGACCATATTCATCTAGATCATGCTTCCCAAAGTAAATATGCGAGTACTGAGTCAATTCCAATACAGACTTCGTGTTGTACATGATGTAAGAAAGCGAGGAGGTGAAGAACCTCTTTATGCTAGGGTGTTTGTACTGCAACACCGATAAACAGGTTAATCATACCGTGACTACTTTGTACAGTAGCAATACTGTATCTATAAGCGGCAGTGGCAAAATGGAGTAGCCTCACAACTGGGTCACAGTCTAGCCAAAGGGGTAGGGTGCGCGGGGGGGGGGGGGGTAGGGTGCACGGGGGGGGGGGGTAGGGTGCACGGGGGGGGGGGGGGGGGGTAGGGTGCACGGGGGGGGGGGGGGGGGGGGGGGTAGGGTGCACAACATGGACAAAACAATAATTCAACGATTTCATTCTCGAATCATGGGCCGAAGTAGAGCATTGCATGCACCGCAGCTAGCCCAGGCCACGGTCAACACGGGGCCGGGGAAAGTTGGGCCAGGGTTGTCCAGAGGTCGAGACATTTTTTGGAAATAGGCAGCCCTGAAACATTGACGATTGGTACATAGACCTAGTACTGAGTCCTGAACAATGGCTTACCTGGTTTATTGGCTTACCTGGTTTATTGATGGACGCAGCAGAACCACGCTGGTGTGGGTTGATAAGGCACAGGTGGGAGTAGGCACCCACGGCCAAAGCCAAAAGAATGGACAAGCGCAACATATTTCGTACCTAGTTCAACCTTTACTGAAGCGCGAAATGAAAAGAACGCGACCTACTGTTGAGCTAAAATCCTCCAAACACAAGTCAGTGAAGTGAAGTAACGCTAGTTTGTTTTCGGTTCGCGGACCGGACTGTCAGTACTTGTTTACGAATAATTCGATGTCCCATTTGTAGCAGAGTATAGGTCAGTGTGACAGTAAAGACATGTACTATGCTGTGGCCCCTAAAAAAGTGGTCCCACTCCCAACCCCAGCCCCCACATCCGACGAAGAAAATGCTTGTCACGGAATGGCCCTGACTCACTACTGTCACTAATGGCAGTCAGCTGACGATAGAAAGTCGCGAGTTGCATCTGCTGACTAGCTGCTGATGCACACGCTTTGTCAACGAACACAAGATTTGTGTGTTGGGCTAGATGCGCAAGTCCAGTGCAGTATGCATGGACTGCTCAACTCATGTCGTGAGCGTCACGTGAAAACAGAACATACCATGCCAGCGTGCAGCTCATGGAGACTATAAAAATTTAATGTAGACGGAGTCTCCAAGTGTATTTTATTATGACACAGAATGCCTTTAGAAGAATCGCATGAACCATGTGAACGGCGGTAGCAGATCTACATACGAGTAGTTCCTACTGAGATCCTCCGCGGCCATGCTGAGACAGGCATTCGTCTTGAGCAGGACAGCAACAAGAACATCAATCTTGGCACAAGTAATGGCAGAGGCTAGCCTATAGAGTATACTGTATAGTGCAGTAGCGAGCTCCAGCAGACTGCAGTCACAGTGGTCAACTAACAGTAAGTAGTAACTTGACAGGTAAGATGGCAATGGTCAGCATTATTATTATGACGTCTATCATCATGAAGCACAGCTGCGCTTGGCATGCTGTCAGTGGTGACAAAGTAAAGTTAGGTGGCGACACAATCACCAGATCACCATGATGAATACTACACTTACTGTGACTTAGTGACTGAAATCAGTGCCATCTGCATCCCACTGGCACTGGTCCATACAACTGAGGACGTTTAATTTTACTTATGAGTCAATAGTTATGTAGTAGCGTAGTGGGAATCAAATGGAGGTCACGGCAGCCTGATTCGACCCAGGGCTGAGGCCGTGTACAGCGGCCCTGTTTAGCAAGTTACTGATTCAGGAAGGTTTGATTGGAACTTTACATGGAAAGCTGTTCGGGTGTACGAGTACAATGACGAACTGAAAAAAAGCATTTTGAAAGACGCAGGTCAATCCGATCACTCTACTACAACAATTCACCCAGTCCTGATAATCCGCAGTATGCAGTATGCCGCACTATTATGCTACTACAGGTCTACTCTCCATATAACGTAATCTCTGGGACCACGCACATATTATGTTATATTGAGAGTTATGTTATGTAGAAAACCGTGTGTAAAATACAAGATGTACCTCAAAATGAAGGGTATTACAAGGCGGGTTTAACCGTGCAAACATCTACACACTGTACCACCATCGACATCAGATACCATCAATGCCGCAGAATATATGCACAATAGGACTAACTGGCTAGCTACGGCTACAGCTTGATCGTACCGCGCACGTGAATCTACGTTGTATCGAGAGTGCGCACGTCGTGGACCGCGCCACAGGGTGCGCTATGCCGAGGTTTACGTTATGTAGGACTAAACTGCCTAGCTACAGCTACCGCTTCATCGTACTGTGCACGTGAATTTATGTTGTATCGAGAGTGCGCACGTCGGGGACCGCGCCGTAGCGTGTGTTATGTCGAGGTTTATGTTATGTAGGATTATGTTGTGTAGAACAAAATTTGTGTGGGAGTGATGCTGTTTCGGCGCGGGATCTGATTTTTTTACTTACTAGCGAGGTTTATGTACAAGTGAGAGTTGTTATATCGAGAGCAGACCTGTAGTACATTGTACAGTCCAATACGTACAGACAAGCCAGTGCTCGCTGACTGGTTCTGATTTGGTTTTGGTGTGCAAGATTAAAGGGGAAGTTAAGGCAAAAATTAAAATCTCACCAGTTGTAGTCTTCGGGGTGCTGAGTCGAATGGTCTTGGTCCGAGAAAGCTGAGACGCTCCCTTCCTACTTGAATCCCAATTGAACTCGCGCACTTCCACCGAAACTGGGTGACTGCGCCCTACTAGATGGGGATTTGTATGCAAAATGTCACTAAAAGCGCCATTTCGTTCTTATAAAAGCACGGATGACCGCGATTGGCCCATATGTTGTAGTCTTTTGGACGCTGAGTCGACTGGTTTTGGTCCGAAAAGGCTGCGATGCAGCGTTCCTCCTTTATTCCCAATCGAGCATGGTTGAACAAGCGGTCACGTGCTCCTGGTTGCCCAAATCACCAGGTCACCACGCCAGCAGGCAACTACTTTCACACCAAGGTTCAACTCGAGTGACAGGACTGCACCCAAAAAAGGTCAAACAGGCTAGTAAGTTGTACCCTGCAGGCACGGTGACCAGGTGACTGGCGTACGCAGGAGCACGTGACCACTTGTTCAACCATGTTCGATTGGGAATAAAGGAGGAACGCTGCATCGCAGCCTTTTCGGACCAAAACCAGTCGACTCAGCATCCAAAAGACTACAACATATGGGCCAATCGCGGTCATCCATGCTTTTATAAGAACGAAATGGCGCTTTTAGTGACATTTTGCATACAAATCCCCATCTAGTAGGGCGCAGTCACCCAGTTTCGGTGGAAGTGCGCGAGTTCGATTGGGATTCAAGTAGGAAGGGAGCGTCTCAGCTTTCTCGGACCAAGACCATTCGACTCAGCACCCGAAGACTACAACTGGTGAAATTTTAATTTTTGCCTTAACTTCCCCTTTAAGTTATTATACCATCAATAATTCTCAGATTCAGATCACAGCTTTCCCAAAAAGCGAACAGTCTGCGCCACATTGCTAACGCTATTGTGCACCGTCTGGCCGTGGGACAGGTTAGCGATAAAATACCCACGGACTAGACAGCTCGGACTATAGAAGTAAGACTTTTATTCAGACTCAAATGAATAGTATTCTGATCCACTGTGTGATAGTTGCCGAAGCCGACTAGACTTGTGACGATGTGTAAACGTAAGCGTATTCAACTAGACGAGTAGTAAACTACAATAATTCTACTACCCACAGGAATTCTGCACAGCAAAGGATGCAGTGAAGATAACGTAATAAATGTCCTGTATTCAGTCAGAGTACTGAGAATGACGCAATGGGTGTCCTGTATTCAGTCAGAGCATTGAAGATTGTAAAGACAGGTGTTGGAATTGAAAACTTGAAAGGTCCCCCACATCCACCAGAACTACCAGGTATGCACCAAACTGTATAGATGACATCACTGTCCAGCAGTTATGGATTGGATAGTTGATGGCGAAGCGGAGGAGGGTAGGGCACGCTGGATTTAATGATGACGTGGAACAACCGCCACATCAGCACATTGGTAGAATACTGCTGGGGCATTGGGGTTGCTTGTGACATATTGCACCTGAACACATGCACACACACACACACACACATGCACACACACATACACACACACACACACACACACACACACACACACACACACACACACACACACACACACACACACACAGAGGAAGTGAAAATGTGAAAAAGCAGAACATGTCCGTGGTAGAAGCAGATATTCGTTGTCTGTAGATCTGTAGTGCTACAGAACAGCCGCTTGAAGGAAAATCACAAGGTATGATTTCCTGTGCCTGGAACCCATTTCCAGGACAGTGACATCGCATTTGGCATAACCAAGTACAAGGAAAACAAACAAAAGACTAGACTTAGTAATAAATTGGCATACTAGCTGTCCGGAGATTGACTTTGGTATACGTGTACATAATTGTATGATCAATAGCAGCTCAAACCCATTGTTTAAAGGGCACAGTGTCACACACTGATACAGCAGTATTATTTTAAAACCTTCAGTAGTAGGAAGTTCAATGTACAGGGTACTCACTTGCATTATGCCCATCTCATGCTTCTCCGTCCTAGTAGAAAGGACAAGAGAAAACCAATCAAACATCGACAATAGGAAACGCTTGAGGAACAGAGTCACACGGATATGGAATCACCTGAACAAGACCGTGACAAAGGTTCACTATTTTAGCCATGATTGGTGAAAATCTAAATGTCCTTCGAGTGTCCAGACCTTGCAGCATGTAAACTTATGATCAGCTGATCACTTTCTCCTCTCACCGGCTCACTGATGCTGATATCCATGCAGCCGCATCAACAGTAACAGCTCATTCAACCTAATCGTTTACCTTGGAATCTCTACGGAGAGTTCATAGATCCATGGCGAGCTGGTGTTGGTATCTGGGGTCATGCCAATCGCCTGCATTTTCTCGTCACTGCCGTACGACACAAGAAAGTGACCCTGGTGGGATATGGAGATCAGAGACAGGGACGACAAGTCAAGGTTTCATCCAAGTGTATGCCACATTGTTCCGACCCGAAATGTATACCAGTGATCTTCTTTGTACCGTGACTATCTTACACAGGCACGTATATTGTTGTCATTTCATAACATATCAACTTTCACATCGCTATCAAAAGTATTGCATGGCTCGGCAGGTCTTTATTGTAAAACCACATGATTTAATCTAGCCATTGAAATGTATTCCTGTTCATTCGACAATTGTTTCTGCTGCATACGGCATGTAGTGCATGTACAGTGCATGTACAGTTGTACTTACAGGCTTGTCAGCGTTGAAGTGGTTGAGATTCTTCTGGATAGTGATGTTAACCTTCTCACCAGATCTACAGCGCAAGAGTCACAACCAGCCATAGGCATGCGGGATGTGCATGACATACAGCACAACCAGCCATAGGCATGCGGGATGTGCATGACATACAGCACAACCAGCCATACAGTTGAACACATCATCATACTCGTACAATGTCATGTAGCCCAGTACTGCAGTAGAATGTCATGTAGCCCAGTACTGCAGTAGAATGTCATGTAGCCCAGTACTGCAGTAGATCTACTACTGTACTAGTACACTGTACACTGTATATATACAGGTCAGTGGTACATGTATCATGATTGTAGTAGTAACCATGGTGAATGTACAGACAGATTCACACATGAGCCAAATCCACACACAGAGGAAACGGATGTACAGACACACCCAAGCACTCTGTGCCCCCAGGATTGGCATCCCTGCTAGCCTGGTGGATCTGTGTACACTCTCAAATCGCATTGCCTTGCCTGGGCTGAGTGACTTACGGCAGGGCAACTGAGGGCCTTCCAAGAGGACGTCCTCCGCATGGTGAAGCAGTCAATCCGCAATTGTCAGCACCTGAAAACCACAGTAAAGGTTGTGAGACAGGGATCAATGGCAACCATCTGTACTATTCCCTCTAAGCAGTCCACCTTCCACTAAGCAAAATTTTGCTTAGTGGAAGGCGGCCGCTGGCTGCTTAGTGGGTACACATGTCGGTTAGTGGAAGGTGGACTGCTTAGAGGGAATGGTACACATGGTTACCATTGATCCCTTAGACTCGCCTGCTAATCAAGGCAATGACTATGTGGAAGAGGAAAAGCCCACCCACATTCCACAGTAGACTCAGTGTCGTCAACCTGATACCCATTATGTAAGACTATCACATGTATCGGGCAACACATTACCAACCGAAAGGCGAAGGCACAAATGAGAGACTTCAGTTCTTCTCTGAATAACGAACGGCATCACTACTAGTAGTAGACGTGCAAACCCATGGCATGGGATCTACCCAAGCACTGGGACAGTAATGTTCCCAATCATTGAGGCCTTACCGGGTGTGTTGAATCCGGCACTGCTTCCTCGCTGATGCGGTGCCAGCAAACACAGATGAGAGTAGGCACTGGCGGCGAATGCCAGCAACAGAGCAACACGGATCATGATTGCAGGAAAAGAATAGTGAAGACTGCACCGAAGATAACACTAGCAGCAAATCGCCTTTGTGAAGCAAGACCTTTGGATTTGTTTCAGAAATATATACCTTTTACGTGTTTACGATTTGTTTCTCGTTGGAGTTCCTCTTGTGAAGGAGCTGAACGCGTTTAGCGGTGAAGGAGGTCAGCTGACAAGACAAGCTGTTGCTTTACCCCCAAATGTGACGTTTTGATGACAGAATGCAATGCTAGCTGATGCATGCAGACTAGGCACAGTATGTTCCATTGTGCACAAATCGTGGCTGTGATCACCACGTGCCTAGCCTAGCCCGTTGATCTCGCGTGATATGATAAAAAAAACGGCCCAGATCCGGCACTGGTGGCAGGTGTTTGCTGTCATAAAGATTCCGTCGATGAATCTGCTCGGTTTATCCAATGATTGATCGTGTAGATCTACATGATGTAGTCTGTAGAGGCTACGCTGCATGCAGACTCTACCTGGCAGCACGAGGTGAAAATCCAGGGCTGTAGCACCCGGTGCGGCCGGACGGGACATTCAATGATTACGAAAAGGTCGACACACTCAACTCATGCACTGCGGTACATGCAGATCTAGGGTTGAAAACCAGGCAGTCCCTGATTGAAATTATGTTCACTTTCCCTTCAAGTATCTGAATTGGCCAGATCAGTTGAATTCCGGTGCTACGACCATGACATTGATCGACTAACAGATCCTACCTGCGTAGCCGCCGCCGCCATGGTCGGTGAACTGGCAGGGAGCTGATGTCTCAACTGCAGCTGACAACCTCAACATACTCAGAGTCATACGCTGCAAGATTATGCCATGGTTATGCCATGATTATGCCAGACACAAACACAATGCACACGCACGCACCCCCCCCCCCCCCACACACACGTATGCACACGCACACACGCTCATACACACACACACACACACACACACACACACACACACACACACATAGCCATGCACACTTGTACGAGTACTTGCTCATTGCCAGAAACTGGTCTTGCGGGTCTTCCCGTGGGATATGCAACGGTTACTTTGGTAGAGAGATTCAAAAGAAATCTTGAAAGATGCTCTATGTTGTTATGCTTTTAAAATGTTGAAATAGTGGAGTCACACAACAGTAAATGTGTGTGTGTGTGGGGAGGGGGGAGGGGGGGGGGGGCACATTAATTCTTGGTAATAGTGATCAATATCAATAAAGAGAGCGTATGGAGGAGATTGTTGCAATAGTGATCGATGATGGAAAAAATCAGAACTTGGAATTGGGGGGGGGGGGGGGGGGGGAGCAGAGCCCGCATATTCATTCCACAGTTTAACCGGTTAAATTTAAAGTTTCCTTCCAAAATAAATCAAAGAAAACAAGAAAAGATTCTTCATCACGTACCACTGATAAAAGTACATGACTTGTACACATACCTGCGTATGAACAATGAACGGGAATATAAGTACATGTATTGGCACTTGTGCGTCACAGAGGTCACAGCAGAACAGTTGGGTAAGTTTCAGCCCTTGCTCATCTGTAGCCTAAATCAATAGTTTACAGAAGTGTAAATGCACTGCCTGGGGTGAAATAACTGAGTGAGACTTACGAAAGGCATGATAATCAAATCAGCATCAACAATGCATTAACAATGCCTAACATCACAAGGCAAGCCAGAAGGGTGTGCAACTCACCTGGATTTGCCAGGAGGTAGGAGTGGCGGCACTGAAAGCTCAATGTCATGATGTTTTTGTGGGGTATTCTCACTGTACGCATCCGGAACATTTTCAGCAAGCAAGGGAGTAATATGTTCAGAATGTAAAGACTCTAACACCTCCTGTAAATATAACTCGTAGCACAAAGTTTAATCGCATCAGTGGACCACATGATGTCCGTTGTGCCGCCGGGAGCCCTATATGCAGAAGAAAAATTGCACGCTCCTGGGGCTTCTCACGGTAGACATGTTATCCGATCTGCCGGCCGTCTTTACAGTGTACCCCGTGGGTGCATTCGTACTTGAAGGACAGTTGGGCTGAAGGTGGCTCGGTAAGTGGGCTTTATGTCTTCAGAGAGTAGTTCAATACGATAGCGCTGTATCCACACGGCAAGCAATGACTTCATTGCAACCAGGGCAAGTGGCTGACCAAAACATTTGTACTGACCAAGGCCAAACGGTATGTTGACGGCTCCAGGACGCTTGGCACCACCGGTGGGATCATTCTTCCAACGCTCAGGCTTGAACTGGTCAGCATTTTCGAATGATTCCTCAGACATCGCGTTGCACTTACCGAGGGCGAGTAGAGAACTTCCGGCGGGGATTGTGTATGCTGCAGTGTTGGGCAGAGTAAAAACAGCACATGGCTTGAAACTCTGCATAGCATTGGTCTGCAGTTCATTGAGAGACCACGGAAACCAAGCCCAGCAATACTGATATACCCCCACCATGAATAACAACAAACGATGGAATTGTGCCAGTATCGCCGAGGTCGCAACAACCTCTTCTTCACAACAAAATAATGATGTACATACCGTACTTCCGCACATATAAGCGCATGCGCTTATGTCCGGACATAAGCCCCCCCCCCCCCCCAAATTACAAGCGCATGTGCTTGTATGTGAACACTATTGCTGAAACATCAGGGACCTGAAAATACTGAAGTACCACTAAGCATAGTGACAACACCATTGACTAGGACACAGACAACCTGTTATAGCACATAGCAGTTATAAGCGCAAATGCTTCTACCCGGACATGTTTACACAGCAAAAATCTATTTTGCAGCAAATTTTAGCTCATAAGCGCATGCGCTTGTATGTGGGAAAGTACGGTAAAACAAGTATTGATAGAAACACAACCAATCCACAACCAACGGACACCGATTCGTTTTGACAGAAACCCGGTTTTCTCCAGAATTCATCAGTAACTACTTCTGGTAGATGATATGAGACAATGAAAGAAGCAGCTCATGGTAGCAGAAAATGAAGCTACTTCAGGTGTCCCGAAAGCAGCAGCAAGGCGAAAACAGCAAAGCGGTGCTAAGGACAGCACGCGACCCACGAAAACACAAAGCACAATGTATATTATAATAATATTATATCCGTAGGGGTGATCCCGTCCGACGCGAATAGTGCTCAATAGTACCGGGGTACTAGAGCCAATACACACCGCACAATCAGGTCCTCACCAGAGATACATCATCATTCGTTGCAATGATGTATGTATCTCTGGTGAGGACCTGATCGTGCGGTGTGTATTGGCTCTAGTACCCCGGTACTATTGAGCACTATTCGCGTCGGACGGGATCACCCCTACTGATATATTGGAGGCTCTCTCTCTCGAGATAGAGCCCTCTCTCCCATATGTCGCAACTATGGACCCACCGAGAAAGACGGATTTAGGGTTTTCGCTCGGCAACATACCCATCCCCTCAGCAAGCGCATACCGAAAGTGCCTAGTGGAGAAGGTCGAGAGCGTCATCCGCCGCATGCGCTGGAAGGCCCACTTCTTCCTGAATGGCAAGGACAAGGCGCAAGGCGCCGAGACCTTTGGCTTCCCCACCCAGAAGGCACCCCCGCAAGTGCCACAGATGAAGGCATTTGAAGAGGACTTGTTGAGCTTAGTGGCAGAGATCAAGTTTCGCCGGGTAAAGGACGACTTCCAGGACACACTGGAGGACATAAAGACGCTAACGAACACGGAGGACATCATTGTGAAGGCGGACAAAACCAAGAACTTATACTCCGTCAGTAAGCCTCAGTATGAAAAACTCCTGAGAGACAACGTCACAGCCACATACAAGCAGGCACCGGACACCGAAATCAACAACAAAGCAAAACAGCTAGCAGAGAAGCTAAACATCAGCGACCGCGTAGACATTATGGCAAAATCAGAGGCTTTCATCACACTTAAAGATCACAAGGACCGATTCAAGAACGACCTGCCCTGCCGACTCATCAACCCGGCAAAATCGGAACTGGGTATCTTCAGCAAAGCGATCCTCGACCGCATGGTGAGCGCTGTACGTGTGGCAACTGAAATCAACCTCTGGAGAAGTACCAGATCTGTCATCGACTGGTTCAAAGGAATAGACGACAAGAACAGACACACACTTGTTTGTTTCGACATTGTCCAGTATTATCCGTCGATCGGTGAAACACTCCTCAAGAAGGCCCTCGACTTTGCAGCAACGTACACTGTCATCACAGATGAAGAAAGAAACATTATTATGCATGCAAGAAAGTCCGTGATATTCAAGGACGGCCAAGCATGGATCAAGAAGGGCAACGGATCCATGTTTGATGTCACGATGGGATCGTTTGATGGTGCGGAGGTGTGCGAACTGGTCGGAGCCTACCTGCTGAACCAGCTCGCAGAGCACATTCCCAAAACACAAATTGGCCTCTATCGTGATGACGGCTTAGCCATCATAAAAAATGCATCCGATAGCACTACAGAGCGACTTCGAAAAAACTGACCGCAGTCTTCACGGCAAACGGACTCCGTGTAACCATCGACTCCAACCTTAAGCTGGTGGATTTCCTCGATGTCACGTTCAACCTAGCCACGGGAGGGTACCTACCACACCGGAAGCCAGGCGACACACGAAGATACATCCATACCCACTCAAACCACCCACCGAATATACTAAAACAGCTTCCGGCGGCTATCAGCAGACGTGTCTCTACCAACTCCTCAGACATCGACGCATTCAACCAAGCAGCCCCCATGTACAATGCAGCACTCTCAGCCAGTGGATATACAGAAGAAATCCAGTACACTGAACCAACGGAGCAAAACAAAGAAGAAAGAAAAAAGCGGAACAGAAAACGAAAGGTCATATGGTTCAACCCTACCTTCAGCCGGAACGTGAAAACGAACGTCGCCGCCGGATTCCTGAGGCTCATTGACCGCCATTTCAGAAACAGTGAGCTAAAAAAGATATTTAATCGCAATAACATCAAAGTGAGCTACTCCTGCCTCCCCAACGTCGCAGCCAAAATCAGACGCCACAACAAACAACACCTCACGGAAAAAAGCCCAGAAAAACCATGTAACTGCAAGAAAAAACGGAATGCCCGCTGGATGGCCACTGCCAAGCCACACACATCGTCTACGAAGCCACCGTAACCTGCCAGGAGGAACAAAAGGTGAACATCGGCTCGGCAGACACAACATTCAAGCTCCGGTACAAAGATCACACTATGTCTTTCCGACACGAGAAACACCGAACAAAAACCGCATTGTTGAAACACCTGTGGCAGAAGAAGGACAACAACGAAGAGTACCACCTCACCTGGCAGATCAAAGACAAGGCCAGCTCCTACAACCCTGCAACAAAAAGATGCAAACTCTGCACAACTGAAAAGGCCAGAATCCTCATTGCAGATAAGACCCTGGCACTGAACAAGAGGAGCGAAGCCGTCGCAAAGTGCAGGCACGCAAACAAGTTCCGACTCGTGAACTTCCAAGGAGTCACCTAGAATGAGCACTACCCAATACGCCAAATGTAACACCCTGCCTACGTATGAGCATCGCGTGAACAGCCTGCCGCATGATACTCTGCCAATTCATGCACCATACCCGACACCATATCCAACACCTGCAGACAGTACAAATACATAGCCCCAAGCATTGTCACATGAAGCCTGCTTTTTTAGCGCGAAATATTCTCACCTTATACTTAGTGCCTTCTTTCGTGCTTGCTGTGTGACTGGGTATATAACCTGTAGTGATCTAATTGCCCTGTATCAGTTTGTTTCTATTGCCTGATGATTGATTTATTTCATGAAACTCAGAGTTGCAACGAACGATGATGTATGTCTGGTGAGGACCTGATCGTGCAGTGTATACACTATATATATATAGATTCACACATGAAGAAGAGGAGCAAGGTGTGACTTGAACAAATACAGTGGGAAAAGGTTCTGAATAGGGCTTGGAAGTGCTACGTCACAGCCAGTCCGAGTTGTTGCAACGCTGACTTTTGGATCCAATGGGAGGGGGCCGGGGGGGGGGGGGGGGGGGGGGGGGGTTGATCTACAGCCTACAGGTTTAATTAGAAACTACTTCTTTCGGTAGATGTATTCGTTTTTTCTACCCCAAACGGTGGATGCTATTTTTCTCTGCCGGCTCTACAAGATTTGAGGCTGGTAGAAGTGAAGTTGGAAGAGGTACAGTATTTCTGAACTTATGTGGCCATGAGAGCTGGTTTTCGCAAAATTTTGTACATCGCACAGTAAAATTGATGTTCTACCGAAATAGGTAGATCTGCATTCGTAGACTACCATCTACTGTCTTTTCTTTTTCCAACATCCGCTCTACTCTACTCTACTCTACTCTACCAAGTGGACAAAACGAACGCAGCCTTGGATCCAGATGTGTATGGATCCATACACGTTTGGCTGTTTCAAGTTCCTTCACAGCATAGTGACACATTCGCCAGTGGTGACTGGACTGTACTCTCCTGGTCAGGAACCCACTCCTGGCACAGAATACTCACACCAACGTGCGACACGCGAGGAGCCCACCCACCATATCCCATTCTTCACCATGGGCAGAGTGGATCCAAAAGTCGGTATTTGTCGCTAGATTTTGACTTCTGATGTCATGACGTTTGTAGCAACCTGACGCTTCCGTCATACGCACAAATCAATAAGCATGCGCAAGAAAATAAAATCTTTCTCTTTGGCCTCAAATTCTTTGTTGTCCGGTTGGCCATTGCAGCCGTCGTCTTGTGCCGACATTAAATCCTACATCGGTGACCCCTGATGCTGCGCTCTTCGGAGTTATCCTCCTGTCATTCCTGAGTTAGGCTCGTCGCAGTTTCCTGCTCGCCTCAACTCTCGGGATGCCGTATGTTCAAGGCCCATAACTCTCACACCGTTAACTGACAAACAAACCCAGCTCCCCTCCCCATCACCAATAGTCCTTATGCACATTGTACAGATGTACGAAGTTCTGTACTATGGCCGTAGGTGTGTACATACCCGGTTGGGTGTTCATTGTGTGCTATACATGCGCGTTTGACCCATTTAGCCTCACAATTCATGGCAAACGATCACTTTTCAAGCCTTCTTCACTTTGGCATTGAACTAACGACTAGCTAGATCTCTGCCGGGAAAAGATTTCGTATGAAATGCCTTCATGGCCCATTTCATAGTGGAAATAGCAGTAAACACAATAGGGTCCTGCACATTCAACACCCAACCGGGTCTACGGGATTCTACAAGATTATACGGGATTTCGTGCATCTGTACAATGTGCATAAGGCCTATTATTGAGATGACCACGTCTCTTCGTTTGTCAGTTAATGGTATGAGAGTTATTCTTGTGAAACCTTAGCACCCACAAATTGTACACATTACCACCCTCATCTTTCACATCATATGTGAGGACAGTCTTCACTATTGTGACCTTGTGGCATGTGACTTTTTTAGCGTTTAAAGTCTGCCTTGCTTCCTTGCTTACTTCATCCTGAAGATGGTCAGAGTGACCAAAACGTTGAACCAAAACTTGCGACTAACTTTGTGAAATGCAGTGTAAGTGAGTGTTGGCCAGTGTTGCTATCTACCTATTTTGTTACAGTGGAGCTGCTTGAAGCGTCGTTCAGAATTTGAATAATGCCTACCATCAGCAAATAAATATCATCTTCTTCTTCTTTTATACCGGTTGTAAATACATGTGAGACAGACGGTGAACAGTGGTCATTCCTAGACCATTGACTTAGGATCATTTTCAAACTGCCTTGGCATGAAACTCTAGGTATGGACAACCGTTTCCTCTGTTCTTCGGACAATGAGGAGACTGCTTCATGTCATTCTATTTTGTACATGTCCGACTATACACACATGCATGTGTGCTTTCATTCTCCTATGCTGGACCGTAACAATAGGTAGACTGATAACAAGGTTTCACAGTAGACTGATCACAACATTGCTATTCAGTTAGTTTTCAGTGCCCTGTGGTACAGAGCATAGAGCCCGAGTGAAAAAGAAGCAAAAGACGCTAAAGTGCAACTTACGTCCCAGTTCAACGTCAACGTTGACGTCACGTGCTGCACCATCGGTGATGTTCTTCATGCGCATCGACTCCTGGATGATGCAACTCATATGAGACAGCTCCTCAATGTCTGATATGGTTGGAAGGGAACCAGGTGGGCGCTTGGACATGACATCTTGGATTTCTTTGTAGCAGATTTCCTGCTGCTCTGGGTACCGACCTAGCACGACAAGGGGGAATGGGTGGTCAAACCAGAAGAATGATTTCTATTCAATATTACCCGGGGGAGTGATATGAGCCTACTGACTTTTAAAGTACAGCGGCATTTACAATTATTTACAATTATTTACAATTATTTACAATTATTTACAATTATTTACAATTATTTACAATTATTTACAATTATTTACAATTATTATTTACAATTATTTACAATTAAAGCCAATAGCACACTTGTGTTCCACGGACTCTACATGGCTTGATGTGGAAAGACTGTGACCTGGTAGACACCATAGTAGTACATGTAACACAGGCTGTGCTGATAAATCCTTGAAAAAAGTGCTCAATGCCACGAGGGCAGACCCAAAAACTAACTTGTGCAGTACATGATGACTGTAGTGCAGTTTTCCATTAGAAATGACACGTCACAAGCATTCAGCCATTGCATAATGTATCACATGTCCCAAGACACATCATGTGCATTCAAACACTCATTCACAAGTGCTACAAGCGGCACAGTGACATGCCACTATCATACTGCCAACTATTGCTCTACCCACCAGTGCACCAGCGTGCGGAGTACCAGCAGGCCGCTCCCTGACTATAAATGATTGACAAATGACCATGCCAGGTTTACCAGATACAGGATATGCAACCACTGCGCTGACATGCAGCAGGCAGAGAAAGAGACTGTGCAACGTTTAATGTCGCTACAGATGCTGCATTATACAGCCAACCTTGCGAATAACTACCCACAACCATCCAAGAGAAAGCGCTGTAATTTGCGAGTTGTCGTTATTCATGAGGTTGAACTGAGTAGGCATTCAAATCACCACTAAGTCCGAAGATTGTGTTGTTATCCGTGCTTTGATATACCCAAGGTCGGTATTCACAAGGTTGAATGCAGGCTACTGGCTAATAGTTTTGTTGGTATGTGTGTGTGTGTGTGTGTGTGTGTGTGTGTGTGTGTGTGTGTCGACGTGAGTGGCTTGGTCATGTGGCAAGGATGGAGGATGAGCGCATCCCGAAGGCTCTACTGTTCGGTTCGTTTCCAAACAAGAGACCTGCCCATGGTCCGCGGAAAAGGTGGCGAGACTGTGTTCGGAGTGACGTCAAACCACTTGACGACTGGTATGAAGTGGCCACCTCTTCTCGCTCCAAATGGCGCCAGGCTTACCGTTGTCTGCCAGACAAGCAGAACAGACCTCGACCATCACCGGTTGTGTGCCAAACTTGTCACCGCTCCTTCAGTCGTGTAAGTGACAGGAAGCGACACAAGTGTACAGCTATGCGTGCCCTACCCGTAAGCCAACAGCCAGGAAGCTGTCACTGCGATCAGTGCGACAGATGGTTCCGGAGCAAGGGTGGATTTGCCCGACACAAGTGCTCGCCAGCAACATCACCAGCAGAGGCATCTTCTGACACACTTGAGTCACCGGTTACAAACAATATGTCCTGCGAACGCTGCAGCTTCCACTGCGCCCGCTGCAACCGCTGTGTGCTATCGCGCCAAGGCATGAAACGTCACAAGTGCAGCCGTGGCTCGGCCAGAGCAACCAACACAGACCGTAGCTCCTTCTGCATCGTTTGCAATTGCGGTCGGCGTTTCAGTAGACCACAGGACCTATCCCGTCATCGCCCCTACTGTTCCGAACCTGCTCAACCCCCCATGGGGTCCGCATAGCCAGAATATGGCAGCGCGTCCAAGGTCCAAGGTGTGTGTGTGTGTGTGTGTGTGTGTGTGTGTGTGTGCAGGCGCGTGCTCGGCGATGGGCACGGGGGGCACGTGCACCCCCCAAAAATTTTCAATCTGGGTAATTGCAATTGTAATGTATGCAAATATGCTCTAAAATTCAAGAAAGGTTGCAAACAAATTGCAGAAAATTGCCGGGGGGGGCTCCCCTCGGCTCCCGTGCACCCCCCTAGTTGGGGGGCCGAGCACGCCCCTGGTGTGTGTGTGTACATCCGTATCAACAGTGATTATCTCCCATGCCATGGCCATCTCAGTGTAACTCACAATAAACAGGAATATCCAGTTTGACACAATTTCAGGACAAACTACTGCAAGTGGGTCTTACCTAGGTGATACATAGCCCATAGCAAGGAGAATGCAGTTGCTTCAAAGCCTGAAGACAGCATAAACACGCCTTCATCGCAGATCTCTTCCTCGGAAAACGGCTCATTATCCGCATCGCCAGATTCCAGCATCATTGTCATCGCATCATCTGGTACTTGAGCGCCGCTGGCTAGTTCTTCCTTGCGCTTGCGCATTGCCGGTAGAATGAATTCATTACGGAGAAACCGACTTGTTCTCCATAGCTTGAAGTTTGTGATAAAGTTGAGATCGGAGAGGAGCTTGAGAGGGCCAGCAACTGTCAGGCGCTCACCTATCACTTTGAACAGGAAGCGGACAGCAGACTCAAGCTCCCTGCATAACTTAACATTAGCCGGATCTTTGCTGTGGCTTGAAATGTCTACGCCAAAGGAAAAATTAGCAAAGGCTTCGCCCACCAAGATCCCAATCACTTTTGGATCTGCCAAATCCAAATCCAGTGGGCAGTCTCTGGCTGGTGTTGGCAGAGTGTCGAGGTACTCGCACACTCCAGATGTCATTATCTCCACAAACCGTGCCATGGGTCTCTTTGCCAGGATACTCAAGGTCAGAATTTTCCGGTGGCGCTTTAACTCCTTGCCAACTAACGCCCCCATGCTCATTCTTCCAGAGGTGGCTACCTGAACTTCCTGGAGATTGCTAAATCGGTTTGCTTTTCCACTGGTAAGAAGAGCGGAGATGAGGCCAGGATCTTTCACGATGTACATTGGTCGTGCTAACCACTTCGGCCCAAGACTGTAAACAGCCATAACACCATGCGAACAGCTATCAGCCAACTTCTTCATATTCGCCAGCCATGGCTGATCATAACCATGATAATCGGCGATGATGAACCGGATATGGCCAGTCCAGTTACTGTATCCCTTCTCCACCATGGGAGGGAGGTTTACGTACGTCTTCCCCTTTCTCAATAGAAAATAGCACGCTATCAGGATAGGCAGCAATGCGTACAGGACCGCCTTTGCCACAGGAACCTCCAACGGCATTGCCATCGTACACGGACTGGCCAACACTGTGAACAGCGGTTGAGCTCGGAACGGCGTAAGTCCCGCAACAATTGCAGTGATGATTAATTGTTTACTCAAATACTGGATAAGTAGATTTACATCTCAAATACACGCCACATAGAAATGTTGCGGATTACATGTATATCTGCACAACAAGAGTCAAGACGACAAGAGGACGTAAACCCGCGCCGCGGCTTTGCTTGTTTTGCTCACAGCGCACGACCCAGCTAGTCTTGGTCTCATTACTACTGAGTTGGTCTCATTACTACTGAGTACTGTACACTACTGCAGTGATCAGTGGAACAAAACAAAAAAAGTCTGTGTTCCACTTCCAGCTACATGTACACACAGTTAGGCCGGTGGAGTACATGTGATGAGGTGTGGTCATCTACCGTCAGCGGCAATGGAACAATACAAGCCGATAAGTATCAGCGCAACTCTTTTTCTACTTCTAGATTGTGCCCAGTAGATCTAACTAACATTACTCTTTCTATAACTAGTAAGTAGTATAAGTAGTACATATTCAAGCAAGTACAGTAACGTCTTGCATATCATCACTACATCAGTCTGGTCACGAGGAGTAGAAATAGAATCACGGGCCTGAGTCCTGACCAGGGAGTAGATCTACGACTCCCTGGTCAGGACTGTGCCACAACACTCAACTAACTACTGACTGTAGTCAACAGTCAACACTACGGACACGTCCAACTCCAAGTCCAAGTCCGAGACACAAAGAAGTAGCAATGAACTAGCAGTATTCCTACTTGTCACCATACAGTCATGTAGACTAGAAGTAGCGCATGGCCGGCGCCAGGCAAGACGACATGTCGACAGGCGCTAGACTGACTGGTCAAAACCACCGTTGTCGTTCTCCAGGCATCATCCTCTTCATGTCTCTTTCGTGACGGAGCCTGCATGTCGCTGATAATTAAGGTACTAGTACTCCTTTGTAGGGTCAAAAATCGAAGTTTAGAAATCGGCTTTTTTGACTCTTTCAGTGGACGCACAAGGCCCTGAACCTGTGGAATCCAAAATTTGAGGCGAATCGGCACAGTCTTTGCAGAGTTACAGGCCAGTGAAGTGCGTGGGTATGTACGATGTACGCACTGCAGCGTGACCATGCTAGCTGTCAGAAGAGCAAAAATGAGTACTCATGCCACGTGGCAAAAATTCAAATATTCGTTACCATGACTGCACAAAATGGCGACCCAGCGTAAAAACTGGGTTCCCTTGCGCTTTTTGCATCACAAACAGCAACTATTCTGCACTCGCTGATCGAGCTTGAAGATGGGAAACAAAAAAATGGAAAGGTAGATACTACGTTGCCAAAAAGAAGAAATATTATGGAAAGAAGCCTGAAACAGCTCCCGATCCTAACCCTGTTCCTGTGGAAGCGGAGCCAGAAGATATTGGACGTAGCTCTTCATTTGCAAAGCTCGTCGGCTGCAAACCCTGGTGGGAGCAGGAGACATCAGACAGCGATGGCGATGTTGGAACGGAGTCTGATACCTCACTGACCTCGAACCCAGACACGAGTGACAGCAGTGATGACAGTGATTGTTTCGAGGCTGATGAGCCCCATACTGGTGCGGGAAACGTATTTTCGACTTGGAGCAGCTGCAGGAGATTCTGCTGAAATGTGTGTGCAGTTTGTAAAGTTGGCGGTATCATTTTGGAAAAGGAGAGACAGCAAGGCTTAGGATCACACATGGTCATATCCTGTTCATCAGAATCATGTCCTGGTGCTAATGTCAAGTTTTCATCGTCCATAAGAACAAGATTTTTTGACGTCAACCGATGCTCCGTTTTAGCTGCCAGGCCCATTGGCCGAGGACACTCTGGTCTCCAGAAATTCTGTGCCATTATGGACCTCCCCAAGCCTGTCAACAAGACGAACTTCCAGAAACACCAACAAGCTGCAATTGAGGCTGCACACACGGTTGGCGAGAAAAGCCGCAACTACGCTGCCCAGCAGCTGTTAGCAGAAAATCCCGAAGCCAGAGGCCATCTACAAGTTGCTGGTGCCTGTTTACCGAAGACTGGCAGACCAGGCACTTCTGAAACGGTGCTTGCTTGGTGCCACACAAAATGCCAAAGAAGCATTCAATGGTGTCGTGTGGCGCATGTGCCCGAAGGAAGTCAATGCAGGTCGCTGTTTGGTGGAGCTCGCTGCAAATCTTGCTACATGCACTTTCAATGATGGTGCCATGAGCCCTTGTCAAGTTCTTAAGAGAAATGTCGTGTTCTGTTGGCCATAACACCATCAAGGCACTGAAGAAGGAGGATACGGACCGCATTGCACATGCCGAAGTGGCCAGTTCAGCATTGCAAAAAAGCACAAGAAAGAAGAGGAGAAGAAAGAAAAAGGGCTGGGAAGAGCAAAGAACAGAGCAAGAAGGTGTCACATATGAGGCTGGTGGATTTTAGCTTGGTTTGGTGAGGTTTTGTTGCTGACATTACAGCTTATGCCTGCATTTTTGTCTGTTTTGGACCCCTTTTTTTCACTGTTTTTAGCCTACTGCGAGTGTGTTTTCTGAAGTTTTCTCTTGGATAAAGTGTCTGGACACCCCCCAAAGTATACATTTTTGGAAAGGTGATGCCCAGGCCTAGGGCACCTGGGTGTTTTCAAGAGCAACACTTTAACTAGAACAATCTTTGCCCTCTCTCAAATGTTGCAACACGGTCGCGTATTATATACGTTGTTTTATAAGGTGTATTGTGCGTCCTTTGTTCCTTTGGATGGACTTCTGCTGACCCAGGTGCCCTTCCCCAGACCTAGATGGTTTGGATCCAACAAATTTGGACCCATCAAATAGTCTTTTCCTGGACATTTTTTTAAGAAAATGTGTAGCCCGTCATATCGACAGAATGTGTACATTCTGATTTACATTTTCCAAGGATCTCGCAAAGCATGACAATATATTTTCTGCTGCTGCAATCACTACCCTTTCATCTGTGTGTGGAGAAAATTTGGAGTGATTTGCTTGTGTGGGACCAAAGTAATGCCTCTTCTTGTGCGGTCGGCCCAGATACAGCCGCGAAAAGAGTACTAGTACCTTAAATGACTTCATCTTCTGACCAGTTCACCTACACTAGGCAGGCTACAGTCCATTCATTGCCTGACATTGGAAACTGGCACCCTAACTAACTTTTTGGTGTCTTCCGCACATACCGGTTGTTGTAGATATCGTGAAAACAACAGTACTATACGTCCTGCATCCTGCATTGTGTGACCATTTAATTTGAGGCCAGAAAAGTCCAAGAACAGGGAAATAGAGATTAAGCCAGGTTTTACAAAATTAGGAAAGGTATACCATGGCAAAATGTATGGAGAAGCAAATCCCAAACCCAGATTTTTGAGATTTAAAGTGGGGATTTGATCCTCAATTCGACCCAAATCGGACTTTCAAAAGCCCAGCAGGACTGCTTCTGATGAATGGACTGTACACGTGCATGATTGTACATATGTTCACTGTCACAAGATGATAATTATGAAGGCAGACGAGAGTCTCGTGCGCGTCATGAGAAGTAACTAGTTAGGAAGAAGGGCTTGAAAGGGGAGTTGTAAGTAGCAATCCGTCCCCATCACTTGAAGGACTGGGCATCAAGTTGAAGGTCATGTTGCTGTTGCAAGTTCTCTGGATTTGTGTCTTTCTAGTTTTATCTACACGTACTATCAGGACTTGCTACGAATACAATCAGGACCTGCACAATTTCTGCTGTTTTATATCTTTCATGTTGTATCCGCCTCAGAAATGATGTTCCCTCATTACAAGACAACCCGTTATAACTTTAATATAACTTTTCCATTGGAACCCGATACAAGACAACTTCGAGTCAATGACCTGAAAATATCGATCGAGCTACAAGTAGCTGGTTCAGTATAAGAGAAACCTGTAAAAATCCCGGCCTGGGTTGTCTACTAACAAGAGTAGACCTGTAATCTGAAATACACACACAACAGAGGCGAAAGGCTGTGTTAATCTGAAATACATGTAGGTGGTCTGTGTTTGAAGTTGCCCCTTCAGGGCATGTACTTCAAGAAAATTAATACAAGTAAAACCTTCTTGTGCGGGATTGATATAATTATTGACCAGGCAACAGGAACGTGCTGAAGATCGAGTTCAGAAATAGCAGTACATGTATGTGAAGTACATGTATATGAAGCATCAGCTCAGCTAAAAAGGTAAATTATCGTGTCCGTTCCTTCTGTATTGATGCTGCTTCGTTAATATGAGTTGAGGTCCCCCCCCCCCCCCCCCCGATTCAATGCTGGGAGTTAGGGAATTAGGGAATTCTGCATAAGCAAAGCAATAGGGAGGCTATACATGAACATATAAGGTGTGACCACATACCAACGTTGCCGTAGAGTGAAAACGCACGACAATGGCGTTGACAAAGTGATCGAGAAGGTGGGTACAGTCAGTGTAGTTCCACACAAAGGCGGCATTATGACAGGGAGAGAGGAAGAGAGACATGCCGAATCAAATTGGGGAGGATTTTATCAGAATACCTTGAGTAAGTTCTCCCGCTGCAATGTGTAGAACTATACATGTGTCACTTCAAAAAAGGTTTGCATTGACTTTAGAAGTCGAATAGATCGGAAAGTTCTCTTCGGAGGTGACGATCACTGGATGACCTATGACACACAGCGTGGGAACATTCTGATTGGCAAGTTACCCGGGCTGCATGTTGCATGGTAAGTGCGCTCAATGTCTTCCGAGAGTAGCTCAAAGCGATAGCGCTGTATCCAAACAGCAGCCAGTGTCCGCAGTGCAACCAGGGCAAGTGGCTGACCAAAACATCTGTACTGGCCAAGGCCAAACGGTATGTTGACGGCTCCAGGACGCTTGGCACCACCAGTGGGATCATTCTTCCAACGCTCAGGCTTGAACTGGTCAGCATTTTCGAATGATTCCTCAGACAAAGAGTTGCACTTTCCAACGGCCAAGATAGTACTTCCGGCTGGGATTGTATATGCTGTACAGGATAGATGCAAATCAGTGCGCTAAGACTTAGTGTTACGAAACAAGAAGTGACATGTCTGGTGGGTTGGAATTGCCTACTTGCATTATTGTAACATATACATTACAGTAAGTCACTAACATTAGTCAGCATGTGTGTATGAACTTGTTGCAGAACTCGGCCTAGAAAGGAACACAACTTGAAATCCAGCGGGCTTTTCTAACTGTCCGTAGACTACAATGCAGCCACTTGCACGTGTATAACTCTTCACTTCGCCACTGGCTCCAGTAATGGTCTCTTCACTGTGAAGTATGAATGAATTTGAATTCCACGAAATTGTCTGGCCTAGTCCATCATCAGGGTGAAACAATTCAACCTGTGCTGACTGTCATGGTGATGGGCCAGGCCGAATTGTTTAGTGGAGTGTAAAGTGTGAATTACTGCAGTGAAGAGACAGTTGCTGGAGATGGAGAATCGAAGAGTTATACATTAAAATCTAGAGGGCAGCAACATGTTGAGCGTCAATGAGAACTTCTGTAATAGGGTGATGGGTTGCACTTACGACCCAGTTCCAAATCGACATCCGTATCACGTGCTGCTGCGCTATCATTGATGCTCTGCATTCGCATGGACTCACTGATAACACAATGAAGGTGAGTCAGCTCCTCTATATCTGAACTGGTCAGATGAGAACCTGGAGGATGCTTGGACAGAACTTCTCGAATCTCCTTGAAGCAGAGCTCTTGGTGCTCTGGATGTTGCCCTGGAGCAGTGAGAGAGGGGAGGAGATGAGGAGGAGGAGGAGGAGAGGAGGAGGAGGAGGAGGAGGAGGAGGAGGAGAGAGAGAGAAAGAGATATTGACAGAGAGGTTAAAAGAAAAAAATAGGCAGACAGAGAAGAAAAGAGGGGATGTAAAAAAAATCCTATTGCTATTTCGTGTTATTGTCAAGGCGGTCTCTCCTAGGCGGTCTCTAGTAATATACGATCACAGTTGGCAGTCTGGCACATACTAGTACACACAGAATAGACAAAATGATACCCACCAGGCCTCCGCAGGGTTGCAGTTGGTTGCTTACGTGATCAGTCGCGTGGTTAAAGATCTCCCACCCGGACCCACGCACATAGTATGAAACAGAGGTGAGGGACTCTGGCTAAGCCAGATGCTACTACAACACGCCTTTTGCATAGCTCCGGGAATGAATAACAGTACTAAAAATTAAAATTAAATCTCACGGTTTGTGTGAGACTCGGCCTTGAGAAACACCACATTCCCACAACCCTCTTGGATCAAGGCGTACACTAGTAGTACTGCTACACAAATAATAGGTGCACCCGGTCCGGCAGGACCGGCCATAGCTGGACCTTATTTCGAAAATGTCGACCGACCCAATTTGTGCACAATCAGGGGGAATTGTGTCAATACTGTTTCTGGTCAAGAATCCCATTTGGCCAGGTCACCTGGATTCCCGGTGTTACGGCTCTGTTAAAAGGCTCTGTTCTGGTTGCGGCCTGCATAACTAATGAAGGGATGGCCTGTATGACTATATTATTAACTAATGAAAGGGCGGCCTGTATAACTAATGAAGGAGTGGTCTGTATAACTTAACTAATGAAAGGGTGGCCTGTATAACTAATGAAGGCCCATTCGTACTCACCAAGGTGATAGACCAGCCATAAGAACGTGTACGCTGTTGCTTCATATCCGGCTTGCACCATGACCATTCCTTCATCACAGATCTCCTCTTCTGAGAATGGCGCATCGTCGGTATCGCCAGATTCCAGCATCATTGTCATGGCATCATCTGGTACTTGAACACCGCTGGACATATCCTCCTTACGCTGGTGCAGAGCAGGCAGAATGAATTCTCTCCGGATGAACGTGCCTAATTTCCATAACTTGTAGTTGGTCCATATGTCCCTTTTCAGGAAGAAGTTTAGTGGACCTGCCACCAGTCTTTCACCGGTCACCTTGAACATGAACTGCAAGGCTGAGTGCAGTTTCTTGCATCTCTCCACGTCAACTGGGTCCTCGCTGTGACATGAAATGTTGATACCAAATGAAAAGTTTGAGAAGGCTTCGACCACTAGGATTCCAACTGCTTTGGATTTCGCCAGGTTCAAATCCAGTGGACGACCAACGGTTGGTGTTGGCAGAGTGTCGAGGTATTTACACACGCCAGCTGTCAACAACTCAACAAATCTTGCCATAGGTCTCTTTGCAAGAATACAGGCGGTCAATAGTTTTCGGTGACGCTTGAGTTCATCCCCTGTTAGTGCAGTAATGTGCTTGTCTCCACTTGTGGCCTTGCTGGCCTCCATCAAGTTCGAGAACCGTTTCACTTTGCTGCTGGTTAACATGGATGAAATCAGCACAGGATCCTTCACAAGGTACGTAGGTCTCGTCAGCCACTTTGGGCCGAAGCTATAGACAGCCATGACACCATTTGAGCAGCTATCAGCCAACTTCTTCATGTTTGGAATCCATGGTAGACCAAATTCGTCGCCTTTTGCAAGGATAAACCTGACATGGCCAGTCCAGTTACTGTATCCCTTCTCCACCATGGGAGGGAGGTTTACGTACGTCTTCCCCTTTCTCAATAGAAAATAGCACGCTATCAGGATAGGCAGCAATGCGTACAGGATCGCCTTTGCCACAGGAACCTCCAACGGCATTGCCATCGTACATGAGCTTGTATCTCAAATACACGCCAAATAAAATTGTTCTGGAAGATATCGGCGCAACAACCTTTTGAGTGGTTTGCTGAATCCTGAATCCAGAACTGCCTGTCTGCGCACTACACGAACTACGTGGGCTTATACTAGTTATACACAATGTAGAATCTAGCATTGGTCTGACCAGTACTGGCAGTAGAGGCGATAGACCACTTTGAAAGAGGGAGGGATGGCATGCATGCAGTGCTCCAGCTATGCCACGGTAATGCCAATGGTACACACACTGGCTGCGTTCTATTATGCACTTGAATCGATTCGTGAATCCATTCGTGGCCATAATCAAACGCACTCACTAGTAGTAGTAGTCTACGACTTTAGCCTTAGGCTTAGGCGCTGCATCTGCCACCCTGTTTACAATCACTGAATCAGGCATGGTGCCTATTGGTGGTGACCTGGCCGGTGGTGACCTGGCCGGTGGTGACCTGGCCGGTGGTGACCTGGCCCCAGCAAACCCCATAGGGCCATACTAATTCTCTATTACATGTATTAGTATTAGACTCTAAGTTCTAAGCTGGTTGTGTTTCTCAACACGTAGACCCTCTCTCTACTGTACATGTACATATAGCCGGTGATACCGACGTGGATGTGCGAACTACTTTACACCGTGCACTGAAGCATTGTGGTTGTGCATGACCACTGAATTGCGCAAGCCAAGGTGGCTTTGACCGATAGGCCATGGACATCGTGGCCTGTAAAGCGACTTTGACGCACAGTGTCACTGCCACACGACAACACACGTCAATACACTAACAATACATTGTTATTGCTGCTACCCCGGGCCTCATGCATCATCCTCTTCATATCTCTTTCGCGATGGAGCCTGTCGCTGATAATGACTAGACTGCTCTATTAGTACTAGTATCAGGCTCAGTGGTGACCCTGTTTAATAAACTGAATACCAAAGAACCATCCTGAGATGCTGCACAGCGGGGGCGGTGGTATATTGGATGGAAGTGGGGCCGGGGCAAAAGTAACTCCTCCGACCAAAGGTCTCGGATTCATCGTTACTCATGTGCGCCGATACGTAGGAGAAAAGAACAAGTGCATCTAAGAGGGAAGCACCTTTGCAAACGATGATGGGGAGAATTTGAGATTGATATAGGACATAACAATGGTAAAAGCAGTGCACCGTGGAAATAGGAAGATGGAGAGAACTGATAATCGCATAAGGTACGATGACTGGGATGGATAGACAAGGTTTAAGGCTGAGCGAAGGGGATCAGAGAGGGGTAGAATGGAGCTGGAGGCACTACTACTAGTACTACCAAGACAAGAGTAATTCTCTATCACATGCAGTGCAGTGTGCACCTCAGTTACTACCTGTCACGTGCGTGCCTCTACCACAGTTTCTCATGTACACTGTATGTTCAATAGGGCATGCACTATTCTTTCCTTTCCATTTGCATGATTTGATTACGATAAGCCAACCTCTCGCGCGCAGCCGCTCTTCGACGTAAGGCCTACGTGTATATTATTCATTACCACAGACACGGAGCTATCATCTATTGTCTCTGCTGCCAGTCCGCTGTTCTGCCGTTCCGCTTTGTTGCTTACATTTACCCTTAGCGTTAGCTTCCATACTTCATTGAATCAATACTGTCTTAGTGGTAACTACTTTACTTAGTCTTTACTCTTTGCTGACTTTAGCACAGCTCCCTGCCCGTGCCGCTGGCCTAGCTCCCAAGTGACCCAACTCCCGGCCTCTACTCTTTCCCTTATACTATGTATTACCAAGAGTACATAACTGGGGTTATGAACTCTTGCTATTACTAGAGCTTGCTTTCCTTTTAGCCCTTCAAAGAGAGTGTGACTACATTGTAGGGTGAGTGCTACATCTTTCCTCACTGCTAGTAGTGTTACCTCCTGTTATCGTTGGGCCTGACATGATGCCGGTTTCCGCAACTGACTTCTTTGTACATTGTGTTGTCCGTTTATACAGGCTTTGTCAGTTTGTGCCAACGCCCAACCAACGCCCAACCATGGGCTGGAGATTGTTTAAAACACGTCGCCTCGTATAGGTCGATCTGGCAGTGGCAGCCACGACAGCACCAATGGTCTAACCAGGTCATCTACACACATTATAGTATAGCACCATGGCTGGTTAAAATCGCCCGCATCACATGCTTATTGGCACTATGTCATCGTGATTGTGAAATAATAATAATAATAATAATAATAATAATAATAGTATGAGAGTCCACAAGTACATTGTAATAGTTAGTTATACTGCGAGGGTCTAGGATACACAGTCATTGGACACTGTAAGCATGTATGTCATCGGATGATTTAATACTAGCGAGATACAATGTACAATAAAAATGGGAGATACAGTAGTTGTAAAGGAGCAATCTGCTGACGTTATCACCTGAAGGACTGGGCATCACGGTCATGTATTGTTGCTGTTGGTCATGAATGCTCCAGTCTCATCAGGCATCCTGGGAGCAGTCACCGGTCTGTCACATTCAGCACAAGCCTAGCCTACTTGACTTCTTCAAGTACATGTACTTGGCAATTGGATTGTCATCATTGATGTGCAAAAAGACCCTTTTATTTTTACTTCAAATTGTTCAATGTGACGAATCGACGAATTGCGTCTCTGCGGACTGGGTAGAGAAATAAAAGGCCAGGAGCAATACTGCGTCTCGCATGTGGAGTCAGTCGTACATCCCTTGTCGTCGATCATTTCGAGAACACAACATGAAAAATGTAATTGCAGAGGATGTTAGCAGAGTACATGCACCTTGAAAGAGTAGTTTGTAAAGTAACAATATTTAGTTCTCTTCGCAGGTGACGATCACTGGATGACCTATGCCACACAGCGTGGGAACATTCTGATTGGCAGGTTACTAGTACCCGGGCTGCATGTTGCATGGTAAGTGCGCTCAATGTCTTCCGAGAGTAGCTCAAACTCAAAGCGATAGCGCTGTATCCAAACAGCATCCAGTGTCCGCAGTGCAACCAGGGCAAGTGGCTGACCAAAACATCTGTACTGGCCAAGGCCAAACGGTATGTTGACGGCTCCAGGACGCTTGGCACCACCAGTGAGATCATTTTACCAACGCTCAGGCTTGAACTGGTCAGCATTTTCGAATGATTCCTCAGACATAGAGTCTGAGTCGCACTTAAAAAATGTCTTTCCAAGCGCCAAGAAGGCAAGATACTTCCTGCGCTACTCCTGAAAGGCTCTATTGCCAACGTTTCGAACCAAGAACTCATACTTACTTCTCTTCTCTTCTCCTAGTATTACTACTACAGTACTATTGCGGTACTTGACATGTCTGGTGGTCCTGGCGGTGGATGCACGTGCAGTCTGCACTACAATCATGTAGACCTACATTGTACAGTGTGTTTAGTAGTAGATTCTCAGACATGAACAAGTCTGTAGTCTGTACTATTATAATACAGTAACCCAATACTTGTTCAATAGTACGAAATAGAGGTTGCGACTTCGGCGATGATTTTGTTTAGGAGCAGCCTACTCAAGCTCAACTGATGAGGGGTGAATTCCCCGAAACACTGTGTATTGAGCAGGGAGTGGTGCTTTCTTGCAGGCTTGCCGAGTCGAAGGTTCGATGGACTTCTCGTGTTCTCTGGATGGCAGTCGTGAGTCAGTCAAGTGTCAAGTCGTCGGCGGAATAGCGCGAGCTCCGGTGTGGGAGCAAACCCACTCCTAAACTAGTTCAATATTTTAACTTCTTTTTCCTTTGACTTGATCATTGGTAATCATTACGTCAAAAAAAACTTTTTACAGCATTCTGTACACCGGGTACAAGCTTCACCAACTTGTTGCCCCCCCCCCCCCGAAAATGTGGCGTGCCAAGACCCATCCACATCGAGCACTCGGAAACTGTGACCGCATGCATGAGCAAACAGATTTTAGCACTTTTTCAGCTATTATTAAAAAAAGCTCAAAAAGGGCGATATTCACCAAAACCGCAATAAAGGGCGAAAGAAACGGGCTTTTCCAAAAAGGGCCAAAAAGGCCGAAAAAAAGGGCGAGCACCTTTGGGAAAGGGCTAACTACAAGTAGTACAACCATCCACGCGCACGGTTAGCAGAGCCCCGCGGTCCGTTGGGACCATCTGAACCATATGGGTGTTGAACCCGGTTCTGACCCTCATTATGCTAGGGGAGTTTTTAGACTTCTCCTTTTGAGCAGTACTAGTTTACGTGACAACATCAACAACATACGAGTTAGTTCCCAGCGGTACTAATGGAGGCAACCAACGTGTAGCAAAATTGAGGAACTTGTGGTTGTTCAGGTTTGTAGATGAAATTCAAGTTTTTTGACCAGTACTAGTTTGCATGACAACATCAACAACAAACAAGTTATTTCCCAGCGGAACTAGTGGAGGTAACCAACGTGTAGCCGGGGGTGTTCTGACGTGGTGAAGGCCTACCCATGGCCGCGTCGGGACATCACCAACCTCGTCTACAGAGAGCACCTTCTCACGACAGTGTCATGGTGGTGACAGTGACTGTTGACAGCTGACGAGCTGAGAGAGACGCCATGGGCAGAAGTTGGTTGGAAGAAAAAAAGATTTAAGAAAAACAATTCAGGTTAAAGTAGCTACATGACTATCAGGAAGACATCCAGGAGCGATCAAAGAATACACGACTGACGTAAGGAGAAGTCTAAAAACTCCCCTACAAGTTGTAGCATAGTGAGGGTCAGAACCGGGTTCAATACCCAACGGACCGGGGCTCTGCCAACCGTGGATAGTTGTAGTAAGGTCACTGTTTCCGAACACAGTGCCCTCCACCTTGTTTCATGCTGTCAAACTAACAACATGTGTGAACTATAACAAGGTCTATTTAAGAGAAGTGCAAAGCAGAGCTGGAGTGCTGCCGCCCAATAGCGGACTGAAAACTACTAGTAAGAGGATGAAAAGAGCACAGACTAGGCCTTGGCGGATAATGCTCGAAAAGGTGGCAGATTCTGCTTTTTTTGCACCGAAATTGGCAGAACCATACAAACCTTATGGCGGGCAATTCCTCGAATTCTGCTCCATTTCTTTATCCACATACCAAACATGCATGAAACTTACCAGAAAAAGTACCGAATTCTGCCAATTTTTCTGCCGGCATTATCCGCCAAGCCCTAGCACAGACGAAACCAGAGGCAAATGGTATCAAATGCGAATTCTGTAAAAAGTGGGGTTTTTGAACTTTACTTCCTGTTTTGCCTTTCGTGGACCCATAAATGGAAGAGCGCGTATTCATTTCTCAGCTTGGGTTCATATCTGAACATGTATCCTCGCTATCCTTCACTGAAAAAAGAGCACTTTTTCAGCATATTTTGAGGGACGCGAAAAGCACTAACCCCTGGGTCACCCCAGAGCTGAAACAGATGTTTCATCGATGAAGCTCAGCCCATCGCGCCTTAATAAAGCACCCCATGGATGACCGCCTCCGACAGCAGTATCGTGCAATACGTCGTCAAGGAACTTTACTAAACCGCAAACTGAAAAGTGTGTACTACAAAGATAAGTTCAGTGCTGCTACAGGAAATCCTAGACTCCAATGGGCAGTGCTGAATCAACTAACTGGAAGGAGAAAATCCCACCCCACACCGAAAGCCTCCCTCTCATCTTTGTCAGATACCCTAGGCAATATCGTCCATGATGAACACCGCGCTGCTCTTACCACCCCAGACACTCCGGCAGACGACTGTTTAGACAACTGCCTTCTCGAGTTCCAACCCGTTACAACAGCAGCAGTAACGAAGATTCTCTAACGATTGAATACCACTAAAGCATCTGGATCAGATGGCATACCAGCTTACAACTTGAAACACCATGCCGCCGAGCTGGCCAATTTCTTAACTTCCATCTTCAACCAGTCATTGTCTAGCAGAAAGGTACCGTCAGCCTACAAACTAGCGTCTGTGTGTCCTGTGTTTAAGAAAGGCGACCCCTACGACAGTTCCAACTATTTCCCAGTCTCGCTACTGCCCATTATCTCCAAAGTCTTGGAATCGCTAGTGCTCCAGCAGCTTCACGACCATCTGGACATCACACCCGGAGCAATTCCAAATGAACAGTTTGCGCAGGCGGAACCACAGTACTGAGGACCTTTTAACACTTGCCATCAATAACTGGCAGAGAAGCATGGATACCGGAGACTATACGGCTGTACTGCTGCTCGATATGAGCAAAGCCTTTGACCGCGTCCACCACCAAACGCTAATAGATGACCTTCACAATCTGAAGATCCGTGGAAATGCTCTTGAGTGGTTCAAGTCGTATCTGTCTCACCGACAGCAACGCGTAGAAGTGAACGGAACCACAAGTGACTGTAGAACCTGCACTACAACTGTAGGGGCGTTCCCCAGGGTTCCGTCCTCGGCCCTACCCTCTTCAGCATCTACACTCGACTTGTCCCCACTCTGCCATTGCGTTCACAATGCCTTCTTTATGCAGACGACACCACCCTGTATGCCTCTGGAAAGTGTCCACGAACTCTCATGTCTTACTTAGAAGAAGATTTTTCAGTGGTGAAGCAGCACCTCACAGATCGCGGCCTGCTCCTGAACTCCAGCAAGAGCCAAGTACATGTACTACTGATCCACAGCAGACGCTCACATCCTCCACCTAACCTGAGCATTGTCTGTGGTTCGACTGTTATTGCCCCGTCTGACGAAGTTAAGTATCTAGGACTGACTCTCGATTCAACTTTAAGTTTCAGTGCCCACGTTAACTCCCTCAGGGAAGACATCGGAAAGAAACTAGGTGCTTTTCGACGTGGAAGGAGGAACCTTGCTGTCCAGGCCAGAAGGCAGTTATACTTGTCAGTAGTCCAGAGCAAGCTCGAGTACGCCAGCACTGCCTACGTCCACTGCCTCGCTGACAAAGTGAGAGATCAGCTGCTACGCATAAGTAAGAGAGCACTAATATTTGAGCATGACACATTCACGCGGACATCATACTTGCTTGAGCGATACCACATAATTAGCTTAGACAAACGATATCATACTAAGTCCATATTCTTCGTGTTCCGTTGCATCCACAATATCTGCAGTTCACTCCTCTCTGACGTGTTCTCCCTTCGCCGTGACTGCGCTCACACAGATAGAGTAACCCGCGGCCAAGTCAATTATTCCCTTTCCTTACCCATTGTGCAAGCTCAAGCTGGATACAGATCTATTTCATTCCTTGGTGCTGACCGCTTTAATGCGCTTCCCGAACCCCTTCGCACAAATCATATCCCCAGTTCATTTCGCCAGGAACTTAAGTTAATTTAACAATTTCATTCATCTTGGGTACCCTGTAAGAAGACCTTAGGGTCTTTTGGGAATGCCCAAGTAAAATAATAAAATACAATACAAATACAATACACTAAGTGCGAATTAAAAGAGCACCTTTGGGAAAGGGCTACTTGTACTTGTAGCAAGGCCACTGTTTCCGCTAAGTGTCCTCCACCTTGTTTTGTCAAACTAACAAGACTTAGAGTCTGTACTGGTATCAGTTACATGCATGTATTAGTACCAAAATCATTGCTATTCGCTTGTTGTGTGAATCGCGGGTTGGTTTCTTGCGGCCATACAACTATTACTTACTTACTTTCAAGCATACCGAGTCGCGAGTATCGCCATAGAATGGACTATAGACTATTATGGCTATATTAATAGTGATACTATCGCGGCCGCTATCTACACTAGTGTGAATGTCACGTGCATACCGATAAGTAGTTTTACGACAGACTGTTTTCTGACATTCTCACGCTACATGATGTAGTAGATCTACTGTACTACCGGTACCGCGGTACTAGTAGTAGTAGACCCAGGTGCTCGAAGTCCGTACATGGTATCCTAAGTTCGTACGCCCATAATTTCATGTTCTGTTATTGTATTCGACTCAAATATTTTATGGAGGGGACAGTGTGGTATGTTCTCCTCGCGTAGCAATTTTCAGGGATCTACGATAAGCAGAAGTCCCATACCACGCGAGTGGGTTTTCGAGTGTCCATACGAAATACAAATTGGGTTACATTTCATGCAAAAATCAACTTTGCCAAGACCGATTTCGAACGGACACAGCGTCAAACAGACCTTCACTCAATCATCAAGAGCCAGCTTAGAGCTGACAATGACCAGAGGAGAAGAATTTACAGAGAACCACCAATCCTTGCAGAAAGGTTGACACTCCTGGCATCTCCACCACTGTTTTCCCGCGGTTTTCACAGCGCAGCTGCTTCTTCTCTGAGCCGACTAAAAACAGCTTGCATTTCGGCAACAAACTACGCTTTTGCAAGAAATACTGGTGGAGGCACATGCCAAACATATCCCTTCGGTGCTTTCGTCGTAACCGAGGGATTGCAAGTTAGCAATTAGCAGAAATATGTGTGTATTTCGAGTCACCTCTGATCAGTACGGACTTAGAGTACCCTCTGCGACACAAAAATTTGATATGAAAAAGCAGCGAACTTCAGAGAAACAGATTGGATCGAAAGATGGCCTGGTTCAATCGAGCCTGGCCTCAGAACAAACTTGGACAAGATACCTTCCATCCACGAGCAGGATTCTGGCAAGTGATGATTGCTAGTGTGAGTTTCAGCTCGGCAAACACACACTGTAAAAGTGTACGGACTTCGAGCACCTGGGTCTACTCAGTAGTAGTAGTAGCGCTAGCGGTTGACAGTGCATTTTGTACTTCATTTGTAGGATTGTACGGCCTAGCCAGCTTGTCGTTTTCATTTTTTACAGTTTTCTGTTATTATTAATTTTGGTGAAATGGCTTTCCTGCAAACTACGTTGACTATAGTCTTGCTGCTAGCGAGCAGCGGTAATGGTGCTCTGCATGATCAAGCTTCATCGTGGTCAGTGGATGTTTTCCATCGCTACATGCAGGATTATCAGAAGCCTTATGCAGTTGGCAGCGACGAGTATGTGAAGAGGTTAAACAATTTCAAAGTAAGCGCAAAACACAGTACTACGAGTATAGGCCAGGGATACTCGAGGGCCAGCCTGCTACCCAGTACATGTAATAGCTGAAATGACTTTAAACGTAGCTGGCGCACTGTACGTAAACAAACGTACACGTTAAGTCATTACCGGTATCAATTGAGGGGGATAAATTCAGAGGAAAAAGAGTACTAAGCTGGGCACGTCTGACTGCTACCAAGCTGGTGGACTCGCGTAACTTGTGGCCCAGTATTTTCCTCTTTTTCCACCAAATATAGACTTATACATGTAAGTGTGCAACTTTCTAGGAAACAGATTGAGAAGAAGAAGTAGCGACGACCCGGGCATTATGGAATCCAATCCAATACACAACACCACCACACTGCGCTCTTGGCCGATCCAAACTCTGCACTCACATCACCATCACCACAGCGAGGACAATTCCGGTATATAGATTGATATTGGCAATGACCCTCCGGACAGCTGTTTCGCTCCTCCTGAGCTCATCCGTGGAGCCAAGAGCGCAGTGTGGTGGTGCGGTGTATTGGATTGGATTCTAGGAAACAAGCCAGTTTTTGTTCTTTCTCACCTGAGTGAAATACAAGCAGCCAGAAGGAAGACGAGACAGGAATAATTATGGTATGTCATTATGGCAAAAGACGCAGCAACAACAACAACAACAACAACCATGGCGTAGTTGAAATGCTTTTATTCATGAAGCTATGCAGAAGACGGTTCGATTAGTAGTGCATGGTGCTAGCCAGGGTCCACAGCGCTTTACCGTAAAAGCCTGTGCATGTGCCTACTCAAAATTACACCCACCATCTGTGTACAAACCCAGTCAGGGGAAGTCAACACTTTTGTTTCAAGATAGCACCCATGCCCAGGTTTGGACGGCAATACCAGTTCAATCCCGGCATTCAATACCAGCACAGGCACCGATACTCAGTACCAGTGAGTACTTAATGTTTTGCTGATGGATGTGCTTCAGGATCGCTCTTCCGAACCATAACACTGCTTCTGGTTTATGGAAGCATGGACACTTTATTAATAGTGTCATACTCAGCTAAAAAGGAACTGGATGCAGTTATTGAGCAAGGGGAGAATTTCAACATTTTTTCCAAGTATACGCCCGGTTCCAACAATAACACCCGTGCACTTGTATATGCCCAGGATGTCGAGGCTGCTATTCTTTACGCCCCGGGCCTATAACAGTTACATGGGCTTTTACGGTATTTCGTATGTGTGGTCCGTAGGGTCAACAAGAATCACGCAACGCGCCATGCCTGGTGCGCTATCCCGTACATATCCATTACCGTACTGTCAAAGACAGCTGGCTGCCATGTTCAAATAGGGCTTTCAACGGTGGGACTATAGCGTGAACCAACTTGGTAGAATGTGTGTGCATGCGGTGTGTATCGAGGGAATGCATGCAGGGCGGTAGGACGAGTTCGAATCCAATGTTATGCGTGGAAATATTTTAAGAAAAGAAGAACATCTAGGACCGTAGCGTAACTGTTGCTTTCACGCACCCCTTTTTGACCTAGCTGCATGCTATGACTTTGCGGGGGGGGGGGGGGGGGGGGGGGGGCAGCCGCATGATGTCATGACGCACCCCCCGAGATTCACATATTCAAATCGAAATATCACTTGAACGTAGTGACGTGGGACCAACACCATTCGACTCAGCGCCCTAAACTCTACGGAACCTTTAATCTGCGAGGAGACAGCAATCGGTTTACAGTATGTGTGGATTAAATTTGCTTGTGTGGTAAACAATTAAAAAAGGAACAAGAGAGCTGCCCAGCTGAAGGCCTACCTATGCTTTTGTGTTTACCTAGGTCATCATGTGTGTTATTCGAACTGATAGAAACGTCTTCGCAATACGAGTATGGGGTTCATGTTCTTGTATTGCAAAGACATGTTTATCAGTTTGAATAGCACAAATGATAACCTCGGTACAAGCAAAGCATAGCGTGGGCATTCAGCTTGTTTCTAAACATAACATCGTTTCAACTGTGTCATTGTTGTTGGTGTGCCTTTCGCTTTATCTAACGTAATTGCATAAATCATACTTCAAAAGAAGTATTTTTTCTTCAGACTTTTCCCATTTGCACCTTTCCCTCAAACAAATGAATTCAAAAGTAGTAGTAATGAGAGAGCTGCCAGCTTTACTCTGCTTGGTTTTTACCCACATGCCGGTGACCTGACTGACCGGTGCGTGTGTGTGTGTGTGTGTGTGTGTGTGTGTGTGTGTGTGTGTGTGTGTGTGTGTGTGTGTGTGTGTGTGTGTGTGTGTGTTTCACACTAGTAGCAAATATTACCTTAACTGGGGGCAGGGGTACCTGCAGTTGGATCCCGGGACGGATACCTGATGCCGTCAATCCTTTTTCTGCACCTTGTCCTCACCCACTTACTAAGGTGTGGTGAGCCCATAAGTGGGATCATTTTCAAGTCCACCCAGAGTCTTGGGGGTTTCAGGGGGTGTCGGCCGTTGGGCGGTTCAATAGCCAATTGAGTCATCTTTCCAAGATTCCTTTTGAGTCTCTCCCCCTCTCCCGGGGGGACTCACGTGACCAGTTTTGGCAGTGAGCAACAAGTACAGTACAGTACAGTACAGTGTGTGTGTGTGTGTGTCTGTGTGTCTGTGTGTCTGTGTCTGTGTCTGTGTCTGTGTGTGTCCAATATGGTGCAGTGGTATGTGCAGCGATTTCCAATCGATAGGTTGCGGGTTCGATTCCCGACGATTATGGTTGCACACGTCTTTCTTCTCTTTCTCAGACTCTTCCTGACTTTTCTTCATTCTCCTGGGTGGTTACCAACAGCCAGTGCATGCCGGAGTATGTGGTGTGATGTGTGTGCGGGGAAAAAAAATGAAAAGACCAAAAATAGGGATTCACTGGCCAGAAAAAGTCACTTCAAATAGCTGTATGGTGTAGACCAGGCTGAATAGTGACGGTCAATTCTTGCAAGCTGTTGAATGGTGCAATCCCAGCACAAGTTGCTATGGCTTCTGCCGTAGCATTGCTATCATCGCCTCTGGCGATGGGCGTCAAAGGTCAAAGGTGTGTCTGTGTGTGTCTGTGTGTGTGTGTGTATGTTGTCACAGGCCAGCCTTACCAGGGTAGCATTGTTGAATGCACAGAGTGAAGAGGAAAACCAGAGACTGAGTCAAGTCAACGACACCATCGTCATCAATGACAGACACCGCTCATCACCTGGCCGGCCTGTCTATGGTATTAACAGCTTCTCAGACTTATCAACACAGGAATTCATTGGTAAGCAATGGAGGCATATCCTCTTGTGCATCGTAGTGATATCATGTTGTCAGGAGTGATGTCATGTTGTCAGGAGTGATGTCATGTTGTCAGGAGTGATGTCATGTTGTCAGGAGTGATGTCATCTTGTAACGCACAGCCTTGTTAGTTCTATTCTTTGCAGATTTCTGTTAGTTAATCTAAGCAACCACTGATAACTATATTGAGGTAGCTGGAAAATTATATACCCTGGGTGTCGTCTATCCAAAGGGTATCGTATCGTGCATTACTGGCTCTGCAAAGAGAAAGAGAGATCCTCGGAGAGAGAGAGAGAGAGAGAGAGAGAGAGAGAGAGAGAGAGAGAGAGAGAGAGAGAGAGAACGTTTTTTTCTCAAAGGAATCAAGCGCACATTAACAGTGAACAGTATCATTCACTCTTCTCCTGTATCGCTTGCACATGTGTGTGCATGCTATGCGGTAATGTCTTTGTGGCGGGTGCTTTGAATTCATGAAAGTGCATGTCCTTGTTTCTCATCTTTCTAGTCTCACTGCTAGTCATGTAAATGTATGCATTGCTTGGTGCACCAGGCATGGTAGATCTACACATCAGTGCAGGAAGTGTAGATGTACATGGTGCATGCACAACATTTGACAGGTCTGAGGACCCCAGGCACATGAGTCGTGCCAGAGTAGCATAGGTGTGTGCACTGTGATGCAATGATCAACATGATGTATCACATGTGGATATGGTCACATGACCCATTGAACCTCGATAAGAAGACCACCTGGCCACGGCGACCACTTTTCCTCGTCCCTTGAGTGGTCGCCTTAGACAGGTTTCACTGTTACATGTGTGTGTGTGTGTGTGTGTGTGTGTGTGTGTGTGTGTGTGTGTGTGTGTGTGTGTGTGTTCGTGTGCGCACGTGTGTGTGTGTGTGTGTGTGTGTGTGTGTGTTTGTTTCCATTGCTGTGCTAACCATCATGACATGCCATGGTGCCGGCGGCGGTGGTGATGGTGGTTGCTGTGCATTCAGCAAGCAAGCAGTGTATGCACAGAGGTAATGTCAGCCAGTTTGCTGGAAGCTCAGCACTGACAGCTGATGAGTTCATGTCCAAACATGCCGATATGGTCACTCCCCCAGACAAGTGGGATTGGTAAGTGACACCCAGTATTACAAAGTGATGCATGCGTACGTGTGCCAACGGTCTAGCTGTAATGCAGCACTGATTAGAATGTGCCGTGCCGGTATGTAGCGTTCAGGCTGGCTTGCACTACAAGTAATTTGTCACCGGTATCTCCTCAATGGCTGTTCAGCTGATGACTGGGTGGATTGGAAACATCCCTTCCGTTCTCATTTGTTAATACCAGTAGCACTTGATGACACTGATTATCAAGTAGAAGAAGGTAATGCCTGAGCCACATGAAATCATCAGGTACAATGGGATGAGGTGGCAAGGCCTGAATACATGGGAAATATATCTGGCTTCGGAAAATATATTTTTCGTTGCTATCAGGTTCGGTCTCTTTTCCTCTGTGCTGCGCTGATGAGTCCACAAAGGACGGAACAGTTTTGTCTGCAGATTGAAGAAATATGGCCAATATATAAATCAAACTTTCATTACGTGCGGTCTTCCGGGGCGCTGGACTTAGTTGTCTTGGTTCTTGGAAGCTCAGATGCCGCTCTCTTTGTCCTATATTCCCAATCGAACGTGCTCATTTCCCCCGAAACCAGACGAGTGCGCCCTACCAGATAGGGATTTGTGTGGAAAAGGCAGAGATTATTGTTCAGTTTAACCTGATCATGATCCTGGCTAGTAGATGTAGCAGTACCTTAGTCACCGTACTATAGAGTATAGCAATATCAGTGCTATCTACCTACTGAAGCCGGCCAGTCGGCCAGTTTATACCTTTGAGGCACTGTGTGGCTGTGGCACGGTACATGGTATCAGTGAGACTTGTCATGGTGGCGCCGCTATTGCAGCCGATCTGCCGGTATGGGTTGATACTCGATAGTGTGGTAGTTGCACTCACTTTGAGTTGAGGAGTTGCAGCTCAGGATTTTCCCTGTGGTGGCCTTTGATGACCAGTATAGAACACTGATCTTGGCCCGGCATCGTAACACTACTGACTGCCGACTAGTACATGTACCGTATTTCCAGAGCATTCGCTGCACCAGGGTCTAATCCGCACCACCCTCCTCTCCCCCCCCCCCCCCCCCCCCCCCACACACACACACCCCACCCCTTTTTCGGGCCCAAAATTCATATTTCTGTTGACATTTGGAGCCAATAATTATAAAAGCCACACAGCAGACTGTGAATGTTTTGGCTATCCGAACTTTATATGATCAAATCAGTCTATTTAGGTGAAGTGCATACAGTCTATTAGATGACAGTGTGCATACAAGATGTTACCACTACCAGTGCTTAGTTGAGACTTGAAGCACGACGGAAGTTCTAGTAAACGTATCATAGTTTCTCCTTCACTCTGAACTGACACCATGTAGAAGCTCCATGCTAGTAGAATGGTACATGAACCGAGGTCGATTGACGCAATACATACATTATATCCGTGGAGCGCTGTAGTGCTGGTCGGTTTGCTTTACATTCATGACTCTGCAGATTCTAAGCCGCACGGGGCAATTTTTGAATTTTGTATGCGTTCAAAGTGCGGCTAATGCTCCAGAAAATACGGTACATACTGTAGGGCTGGTCACGTCTTCTTCACATACCCACCAATTGACCATGGCCTCAATTGCAACCTTGTTCATTGATATGCTGGACAACCTGACGGCCACTTCCAAATGTATCGCAGACAATCTGAGCAGGCGTGTCGAATAACACGCCAGACAGCATGACTAGCTACGTTGTATATTGAACTGGACAGCATGGCCGCTCATGGCTATACTCATCGACCCACGCCGCATTGACACTTACACTGGCACTTTTTTTTTAAGTTGTCCACAATCTTTGTGATTACACCACCTGCAGGAGAAATCAATCCGTGGTGACTGAAATCAAGAACCAGAAGTCGGTACGGAGCAATCAAATTCAGCAGTATCATATAAGTTAGCACCGGCATATGTTGGACTCAGAAGAAGGCTCATGCAGTATATGATGTCCAGCACCCTATATAGAGTTTACTGGTCCAGAATCCCCTGTACGGCAGTTCAGCAAGTCCACTGCTGTGCTGCAGTTGAGCTGCATGGTCTGCAAACCGAGAAACCCAGTGCCCGGCTGTGGACGGTTCAACAATTATATAACGTACTCCCCTGACTAACGTACTCCCCTGTAGACGTTTTGTATATATATTCTAGTGTACGAAAGAGAACGCCTTTTCGATTTGCATCGCAGCAACGCATCCTTTTCTTCACTTTAGTCATGGCTGCCAGTTCTGTTGTGCAATTACTGGAAGTCATCTGTATTGGGGCAACCAAGGAGGAAGAGGAAACGCCGGTTCAAAATCCAATCCGGAAAGCGTAACTTGTTATAGTGTATCTGTGAAGACATTGCTGGGTGAAACTGCAGAAATCTGAGAACAAGAAAGGTTCAGCACAGTTCCAGTCTGACAAGTTAGGTGAACAAGAGTTTTGTCCAGCAGCTGAGCTGTGTGTAGGGTATATTTGATTATATTAATCTGGGCTGCGGTGTACATTGTACAGGACGTGCATGGTTGGTTGTGCCCTTTATAGCGAGTGGAATCCAGTTTTGAACTTTTTGTAAGGCTTGGGCTAATAAGGTGAACTCTTTACAGTTGATTCTTACAAGCTGATGTCTACACTTGATTCCAGGTTTGAACTGTGTATACATGCAGTGGATTTTGGACCAATGAACTCTATATAGGGGGCTAACCATATATAGGGGCCAAACTGCCTACTGAGTCCAGTCCATACATTTCCGTAGCATGTCTATGCACTGGTACTGGTCTGCATTCATTTGTCAAATATATATATATATATAGCATTACCATACGTCTCAGTCTGCTAGGACCGGATACGTATAGTCACAGTCATATTTCCCACAGCCATGTACATGTACTCCTGTGCGTGTGTGTGTGTGTGTGTGTGTGTGTGTGTGTGTGTGTGTGTGCATGCATGTGCGCACGCTCGTGTTGGTGGTTGTGTGCGTCCATGCGGATATGATGTGTGTGTCCAACTTTTCTGATACTTTCTCCTCTACTTGTCCGTCTTCACCTGAATTGCATGTGGCAGTGTGGAAGTTGCTGGTAGGTGACACCGGGTTGATTGCATTCCTTTTTCATTAGTGTTGTCTCTTTTCCATTAGTGTTGTCTCTTTTCCATTGGTGTTGTCTCGTGGCCACACACTCACCAGCAAATGTAGTACCATGACACACGTCAATAAGACAAAAACAAAAAATAAGCTTGTTTTGAGTTCTTCGCATCTGTCCACTGAGATTCTATGGAAGCCCCCCCCCCCCCCCCCCCTCCTCAACACAAGCACACCTTTTATTAGTATAATAGATGTGTGTGTGTGTGTGTGTGTGTGTGTGTGTGTGTGTGTGTAGACGTGTGTGTGTGTACGCGTGTGTGTGTGTGTGCGTGTGTGTGCGTGTGTGTGTTTGTGTGTGTGTGTGTAGACGTGTGTGTGTGTGTGCGTGTGTGTGTTTGTGTGTGTGTGTAGACGTGTGTGTGTGTGTGTGTGCGTGTGTGTGTGTGTGTGTGTGTGTGCGCGTGTGTGTGTGCGCGTGTGTGTGTGTGTGTTTGTCGGTTTGTTTATTGGTGTGTGCATTTTGTGCTGTTTGCCATGACAGGGCGTTTGCTGCCATTGAAACTATAGAGAGTGCTTGGGCTATCAAGTATTCTCGTCTCTACTCTCTCAGCGTCCAGCAGCTCATCTCATGCAACATTGGCACTGGCAATAGCGGCTGTAACGGTGGCCGATATGAAACTGCCTACAACTGGCTCATTCAGGTATACATATATATAATTTGATTTGGTTTGATTTGATATTATGCATAAAATTCCAATACTAAAATGACATGTCAGGCCACTCTGAATTCAGTTGAATTCATTGCTGCAGATCTTCGCTCACTTGCAATAGAGTTGGCAGGTCGGCGAAAAAGTTGCCGGCCAACCGACTTTTTATCAGCTGTGACCGTTAAGGACGCGTCCATTGAGCTGTTCTCGCAGAATAACGCAGACGGATTCCTCGAATTATGCGCAACATACATACGTAATAGCAACCTTAGTGTAGATAATCTATAGATGTTATCTGAATCCACATAGTGACTTGTGCGGCATTATTAATGTGATGCCTGCACTGCATACACCTTACGGAGCACATCTGACTTGTGCCGGTGTTATTATCCATCACGAGTCTGTTGGCTTCTGCTGTGTGCTGTATGTGTTGCCTGTGCATCAATGCTGCCGTCTAGGGATCTCGGAAAGTTGACTTGGATGCGGAGTATCCATATTACGATAGCAAAGGTGGAGTGTTGCCTTGCCGGGAGGTGTAAGTACTTTGATATCATAATCGTATGTATGTGCACTGTAAAACGAATAGCAATTGCAACAAGACATGTACCAAGACATGTACCAAGACATGTACCAAGACATGTACCAAGACATGTACCAAGACATGTACCAAGACATGTACCAAGACATGTACCAAGACATGTACCAAGACATGTACGCATTTTAGAAATTGAGACTGGCTTGAGAATTTCAAAGCTTGTGAAGAGTAGCATCTCGCAAAATTGCACACAGTTTTACGTCCCCAATATCAGTACCCGTTCTACGGCATTTTGACTGGCACGAGTGCAAACTGTGATTCTTGCGCTGTAAAATGTATGCAATGTACTATTATGAACTGTTCTGTTCCGTCCCTGAGCCGGTGTCTTGGGGGGGGGGGGGGGGGGGTGGCAGCAATGCAGCAAGTTATTTTCATGCTGGCACTCACACCCAGCTTCACACTCCGCCTCACACTATACAGACCAGGGATGAATTTATCCTGTATCGCATCGCAGTTTGCGATGCAAAATCGATCTCAGTACTGCTACTCAAAAGTCACCGTGACTCGCAGAAAATTGCGATACATACAGACTATCCATGCCTAGCCTGCGCTGTCAAGTAACATGCATACAGTGCAATGTATGTGGTGCAGGTACTCTCAATCTGGGTGCGCATGTACATGTATGCTTCAGTCGTTTTTGTGCAAATGGGCTTTCAGGCCGTCTCAAGAAGGACAATGTGGTAAACTCCCAACCTTCAAAGGAAAATGCTAATCAAAATCAAAGACTGCTACACAATTGTGATTTCGTATAGCAGAAACTGCTATGCAAAAATATGACAGTAAATTCATCCCTGCAGACGTATTTTGATCTTCTTTTCAGCAAACGCCCTCATTGATGTGCATCGCTTGTATTGTATAACTGTGTTTACTGCGTTCCTAGTTTAATTTCATTTTAACATCTCTTTAATTCTTGCCTTTATCCCATTAAGACCATGCTAAAAGACGCAGCGTCTTTTCAGAAGTATTTTGATCTTCTTTTCAGCCAATGACCTCATTGATCTGCATTGCTTGTATTGTATACCTGTGTTTACTGCTTACTGCTGACTGCTGCTTTATTAGGAATGAGTTTGCTCCTTTATTGTTCCAAGTAAAAGTTTAGTTTCGTTTAGACATCTCTTATTATTATTTTTCTCACCCCACACCCCTCTACTCTGTTATCGGCCCTCTTAAGAGTTGTGTTCATCACTGTTGAGGCTTCCGATGAAAAATAAAAGAATACTACTGCTACTACTACAGTGCGTATCGATTATAGCGTGGTCGTGTAAAAGAATATACTGCCTACAAGAATGAACTCTCATGTTTTCATAATCATAACATGGATTTCATGTGCACATTTATTCTTACAAGCAATTTTATCGTACAGTAGAATATATCGGTCCTAAGAATGGAATTTGTGTAGCGAACCATGCCAGATCAGTACAAAGTATATCGCCTGTAGTAATAACATCCGTCCAAAGCCGTTCTGATCTGACTCGCGTTGGGTTGTAGTGCTACAGGTTCAACTATTGTGGTCATGTAACTCATGTTGCATAGCCACATGGTAAGCCTATGTGACTGTGACCAGCCGCATGCACAGTAGCACTACCTTGTATGTACGATGATCTTCCTGCCTCTGCGCACATGCACATGATATGTCACACTTGATTTATCGTGTGTAAGAAATATCGGAAATAAGAATAGAAAGTCGTTTTTCAAACACCCACGCTATAACCGATACCTACTGTACTACTACTACTATACCTCACACCCAGCACATGCGGCCCAGCAAGCATGGCAAGGCATGGCAAGGCATGGCAAGGCATGGCAAGGCATGGCAAGGCATGGCAAGGCATGGCAAGGCATGGCAAGGCATGGCAAGGCATGGCAAGGCATGGCAAGGCATGGCAAGGCATGGCAAGGCATGGCAAGGCATGGCAAGGCATGGCAAGGCATGGCAAGGCATGGCAAGGCATGGCAAGGCATGGCAAGGCATGGCAAGGCATGGCAAGGCATGGCAAGGCATGGCAAGGCATGGCAAGGCATGGCAAGGCATGGCAAGGCTGTCTTGGCAATACCATGTACAGTAAAACTTGGATAGGCTGGGATGACCCTCTCCCCTCCCGGGCCCTGCCCCACCCTCCCCATCTCCCCCGCCCACTGTGACCCGTAAAATATATGGCTTCTCCGAAACCACAGAAATGGAGCATATTTGCAAAAAACGCGTTCTTATTGCTGAATCTAAGCAGAATGTTACAGTTGAATGAACTGCAGCCCTGGTGAAATAAGATGTTTTCCTTCTTTCTGAAGAGTAGCACATTAGAAGGTAGAGAGTCCAGAATTCATAATTCACAACGGATGCCACTGCTGTTGTCGGTACTGCTGGGTATGCCCTGGGTGGTGCTATGATGGTTTACTGGGAAATATGCTAGAAAAACCATGTCATCATGTCATTGTGGTCCTAACTAACACATATCATTGTGGTCCTAACTAACACATATCATTGTTCAGTCACCGTGTTGGTAAAACGTTTACTTGGTACACCACAAAAGCGTCCATTTCTCCCTTAGTAGCAGTGGCGAGGCTTCCTACAGCTTCATTCATAGCAAGATGTTTCTAGAGCAGACTCGCTCTCTTCCCATTCACTGTGCAAATATCGAACTCTTTTACCAATCACTGATCTTTTACGTTTCGGCAAAATTGCCTTCATCAGGTATGCATCAAGAAACCTCTTCCTATTTCCCCCTTTAAAGTGTAACCTCTGGCTCGCTTTCCCACCACCTCATTAAACGGAGTAAGGCCTCGTTTACACGACAACGATTGAAAAACGTTTTCAAAAGAACTCGCTTCCACAGATTTTGACAAGAGCGTTTACACGACAACGCTGAAAAACGTTTCAAAAACGTTTCAAAACAAAAACGGCCTTCAACGTATTTTTCAATCGTTTTCGTTCCGTTTCCTTCTCGTGTACATGGCAAAAACGTTTTGTTGCCATGGAAATGCCAGAATGGTGTGGCGGGAAATAAGAAAAAGTGCGAGTGGGTACCGGATTTCCCGCTCTAAACATGCCGTTGCCAAGCCAACTTATTGCACGTGACCATTGCGCGCCGACAACGCGTTGGAATGTAAACATCTAAAACGCTTATTGTTTTCGTGTACACAGCAAAAAACGTTTCAAACACGGACTCGATGAAAACATTTTTCAATCGCTGTCGTGTAAGCGAGGCCGAAATGTACTTGTATAGTCGATTAATAGTGCGTTTCAAAAGTCCAGACCTCTGGTTTCAAAAAACCGTTAGGCCAGCATCTATACCACATAAAATCTGTGGTCACTTTGTGCATAATATTTTCGAAATTGGGCGTCTGTTATCCAATCGCTTAGAAATTTACATGCGAAAAATTGCGTGAGCTGCCTGAGCAATATTCCGAAGAAATTTCTCAAAAAGCTCAAACCAAATTGAATTATTCGAAAAAGTCTAGAGGTCTATACTTTTGAAACGCACTATAGTAATTTTCAATAATCAGACCCCTCGGAAATCAGGCCACTCAGTCTTTGCCCGGTCCGAAAGGCGGTTGGAATTCAAATTACTTGTAGGCAGATTGGTTGGTCTAGACGGTAGCAACCATGATGGCTGAATACATTGACTGAGATTGTATGTTCTTGTTGTTTCACTGATGATTTTAGGGAGACAAAATCCCCAGTTACATTGACTAGCTACCAGTCCATACTCAAGTAAGATTCTTGATATTGTGTGGTGATGCGTCCCTGTGTGTGCGTGCATGCGCGTGTGTGTGCGTGTGTGTGTGCGTGCATGCGCGCGCGTGTGTGTGTGTGTGTGTGTGTGTGTGTGTGTGCGCGTGCATGCTTGCATAGGCATGCACCTGTATGTACAAGTATATGCGGCAGTGAGAGCGGGTCACTGAGTTGTAGGTGAGTGTGCACATACAGTGTGTGGCTACTGTAAATATACAAAATTTCGGCGCTGCAAAATTTCGGCACCTCACAATTTGTGACATTTCGGCGGCGATTTATTTTCGGCGTGGGGTAGAGGGCATGGTATAGTGCAACAGATGCTGTGAAAAATTTCATCGGCGTTTTAATTTAGGCGTTTTGGGTCGGTGCCGAATATAGCCGAAATTAAATAGCTGCCGAAAATTTGTATATTTACAGTATGTCTTTGTTAAGTGATTGTCTACGGGCTCGTATGTATGCACTTCAATAGTATTGCTAGTCGTTGTAGTACGTTTTAACGGTATGCATGTATGTATGCATGCCAGAGGCGTATATGAGTTCGGCCCGATGTGTACATGCATATGTGACTCACTGCTGCATCAAAGCAGTCGCAAAGGCATTGATTCCGGTTAGCTTGTGTGGATGACTGATGCGGCTTTGCAGCATATCATTGGCAACGGAGTCAGGTCTTCTTATGAGAGCAGTATACTACTATGGACCAGTTGCCATTGTTGTGGATGCAGCCAGCTGGCAGGACTATGAAGGTGAGAATGCTCCTGCTGCTGCTGCTGCTCATCTGATTCATACCGGTGTGCCAGTAGATCTGCAGCTGTTTATATGAATCCTTCCGTGGAGTAATAGAGTGGGTGGGTGGGTGGGGGGGGGGGGGGGGGGTGGGGGAGCACTGAGACTACATTGAAACATTGGACCGGCTTGTATTCTACTTTTGTTTCATGACTGTATCATTTTGTGCTATTATCACCATCACCTAGCTACCATAGATGGACCATTGCCATGTCGGATGATCATCTTTTTGATACTGGCAATGATAACTGCTTCCATGTGCTACTTCCTAGGTTACTCAATTGCCGTGTAAACACATGCCAGCACACCTGCCAGCACATCTGCCAGCACACCAGGGAGGGAGGGGGGGAGGCGGGGGGGGGGGGGGGGGGGAGGGAGGGAGACAGAGGGGAGAGGGGGAGGGTACTATGTTTCGAGAGGGCCTCTAACGAATCGAATGAGTATGTTACTGTTGATCACTGGTTATCCACCAGTCTCTGAAATCACAAGGAATGTCGTGTGTGCATGTATGGAATGATTGGTGTGTTATGTGTCTTTAGGCGGAATAATCCAGCACCACTGCACTGCCCAGTCTCTAGATCATGCCGTTGTTATAGTGGGATATGATACGACAGGTATGCGTAGTGTACCAGCTGTGTGTTAATCTGTCGCTATACATCCGCACTGAGTGTAGAATGCACCACCATCTTCATTCATAGTCAAACCGCAATTCCTAAGCGGGGCACTGTGTTTGCATCGTTGCTTCTCATCCATGCAGGGTCAAACCGCAATTCCTAAGCGGGGCACTGTGTTTGCATTGTTGCTTCTCATCCACAGTGCAGGCAGGCTGGGACAGGGTAGTGTTAACACTGCAGAATATTATGGTCGACTTGGTACCGGCCGGGCCCATGATTCATGGACGCAGGTGTGTGCTGTGGCCGAGAGTGTGAGGGGATTGTGAGGTGTGCATGATGACGATGGCCACACACTGATAACTACAGTGCTGCCAAACGAAATTCGATCTGGGGAGTCAACTCTGCCAGTCCCGGCGGCATCAGTGAACATCCTAGTGTTCGCAGGCCTAGGTTTGCACAGCGCCCAGCGCATACTTGACTCGTGCAACCAGATTTCATTGAGCAGCAATGTCTGATGTGGTGATGCCGGTGTATGTTGGTTACAATGCATTCACGGCTATGACTGTGTGTGTGTGTGTGTGTGTGTGTGTGTGTGTGTGTGTGTGTGTGTGTGTGTGTATGTGTGTGTGTGTGTGTGTGTGTGTGTGTGTGTGTGTGTGTGTGTGTGTGTGTGTGTGTGTGTGTGTGCGTGTGTGCGTGTGTGTGTGCACTGCAGGCCCTATACCGTACTGGATAGTGCGAAATACATGGGGTGGTAGCTGGGGTCACAACGGCTATCTCTACATAGAAATGAACAAGGACCTGTGCGGTAAGAGTTCCGCCTGCTGCAGCCGCTGAGAACACCCCAATTCATATCCCCTCAGTCTCTGCGGACCGATACTCAGTCTGTGACGGTGACGTGAGGTTACATTGGAATCTGGGATCCTAGCAGCTAGCACCCACTTTGATTGCCTTGCTCACAGATTTCAGTTGACAGTGTATCATGCAGAGCATGCACTGCCATGCTACACTGTACAGCAGAGAGCGCAGCCTTCACAGTGCCAACGAACACAGCAACCTCTGTTTTGGCATGGTGAATACCACCCGGTTATGTACATGTAGATCCAAACACTGAATTATTTCCTAGATTTAAAAGAAAGGACCAAAATGTTACATGTTATCCGTAGTTTGTGTCCAACACTAACACTAACAGCTATAAGCCCCCGTCCCGGCTCACACCGTCCCTCACACCGTCCTTCACACCGTCCCTCACACCGTCCCTCACACCGTCCCTCACACCGTCCCTCACACCGTCCCTCACACCGTGACAAGTCAACAAAGCGGCATCTTTGGATTGAGGGGTGCTGGTTTCGAAACGACTGGTTTGAAGCTCAAAGTAGAGCTGCTGTTAGCTCAAAGTAGAGCTGCTGTTAGCTCAAAGTAGAGCTGCTATTAGCTCAAAGTAGAGCTGCTGTTAGCTCAAAGTAGAGCTGCTGTTAGCTCAAAGTCAGCTGTGGTTAGCTCAAAGTAGAGCTGCGGTTAGCTCAAAGTAGAGCTGCTGTTAACTCAAAGTAGAGCTGCTGTTAGCTCAAAGTAGAGCTGCTGTTAGCTCAAGGTAGAGCTGCTGTTAGCTCAAAGTAGAGCTGCTGTTAGCTCAACGTAGAGCTGCAATGCTAAATGGATGTAATATAGCTCAAGGCAGAGCTGCAGCAAATAGCTAGATAACACCAGTTGTGAGAGTGGACCCGATCAGTGTGTACGATAATCATAATGATTGTGTGAATAAGCTGGATAGGGAGGGATGGTGGGAAAAGCAACACTGCGGAAGCACGATCTGCTGTCTGGAGGAACACAACAGGGCAAGCAAGATTTGTTTTCTTTTGAGCAAAACGGGCTGAGTGCCATTTGTGATTACGCAGCAAAGCAAAGCGCATGACGTCAGTCTTGAAGGCAGCACAGAGTAATGCAGCGCGGTGTATGCGCTAGTTCGGATTGTTGCTAACGAGTACTAGCACAGCTAATACCCCATAAGCAAGCTGTTGTAAGATGTTGTGTAGTGAGAAGGTGCAACAGCTAATACCCCATAAGCAAGCTGTTGTAAGATGTTGTGTAGTGAGATGGTGCAACAGCTAATACCCCATAAGCAAGCTGTTGTAAGATGTTGTGTAGTCAGAAGGTGCAACAGCTAGCACAATACTGACTGATGTGATACTGACCGGCATTCAACAACCTGATCGGATAAGCTCTATCACGTCTTGGATGCGCAAACCAACAGCCTTCCAACTTGGAAGGTTCTAAGTTATGAAATAACATGAGAAAGGGGAAGGTGAGCGCACTCAAGACGAAAACAAGCTAAACATCACAGCAAACTAAGAATGTTAGCTTTGGCGAGATGGTGACGGAAGTTCTCGAAGTGAGCCGTGGCTGTGGCCGTCCTGTGCCGTGGTCCTTCGTCTTTCATCACCATCTACGGATAACATGTACCAATTTGGTCCTTTCTTTTGAAAATAATTTAATCCTTGGTTCTCCATTCGAGTCTTACTTGCGTCCTAGATAGCAATACGTTTGCATTATTTTCTTACGGATCGATGATTCTGACCATGCACACATGCACACGTGCACACGTGCACACATGCACACATGCACAAGCTATATCTAGATACTGTGTGGCCATGCTATGTTCATTGAATTCACGGGAGATGTGGTCAGCATGCGACTCGGTTACAGGTTGCAATACAGGGGGGTAGCACCCGCTACGACTGGTACGACTATGGCCGTACCACTTTTCGAAAAGTGTGGTCCGTCCGGAACGTGCAAAACCGTAATAAAAAAATCAGGATCCATCGATGCATATGCATCAGACTTTGACCTTTTTCTAGACTTGTACTCGTAGATCTGCCATGCATCTGCAGTAGTACTGAGTACAGTACTACTGCAAGTATACTGTACTCGACTCGACTGCACACTGAACAGTCCCAGAACGCAGGATTTTGTGTCTTTTTGTAAATTTTCCCGGGGGAGGTCCCCGCACCCCCTCCAACACGGCCTTTGGCCGCACCGACCTTCGGTCGTACCACTTCCAAAACCCTTCCTACGCCCCTGCAATATTGCATTGCCTCTACATCATCGTACTTGGCAGGGAAAGTAGGACGACTGGACAATTTTGGAATTGGAGCTAATACCTAAAAGGAATCAGTACCAATCACTTTTCTCAGTGTCACTTTTCGTAACCTATTGCTTGAATGGGAACAACACACTTGCATGAGGAGTAAAGACTTGGGCAATAAAATTAGTTCTAACACTGCATTTGCCGCTTTATGCCAGGTCGTTATACCGATCCAGTTTCAACTTTCAGTAGCTAGATGTATACATGTGCACATACATGCAACTGTGGCCAGTTTGCTCAGCCTAGTACAGTAGTAGTACACTCGGTGTACACTGTTGTGCCTAAACGAATGCACACGGGCAAGCTAGCAGCATGCACCAGTGTGGCGGCGGCACAGCCCAGTGTCTGTCGGTCTGTGCCGGCTACACAGCAACTGCCATGCCGCACTCGTTGATTTCTTGTGTAGTTTGTGCAGACAACTCCTGATAATTGTAACCAACACCATTGTGCTGCAGAAGAATTGCATTCTACAATGTAGGTCTTTATAGCCAAAGTTCGCTCTAAGAGCAATGCACTCATGCCATCGGAACAAGACGTCACGACAGCCATGTGGCCCATGACTGTATGAGTGCACTTGGTTCTTGAACTTCTCACACGGCCCTACAAGAAATGGTTCGTTATAAACGAAAACAGTTCGTAAGTAACAAAGGGTCAATATTGTATGGGTCACGGCATGGACAACAGCTCGCTATATCACAAAATTCGCTATATTAATACGAGTTTGTTATAAGTGGTGTCGACTGTACACCACTCAACAAGTTTGCCTGCGTGCCCGGTGTGTGTACCCTGTGTGTACCATGTGTGCCCTGTGTGTGCCCTGCGTAGGCTTGGAAAGCTCGCCGGCGTATGTCCAAGTTTGAACCTATAATGCCGCCGCTGAATAGTTCGCTATCAAGACAACTTGCTAGCCACGAGTCGCCCATGCTGGTCTTTAAAAGATTTTGGCACCATTGGTCAGTCCATCTGATCAATGAACACATACACACACACACACACACACACACACACACACACACACACACACACACACACACACACACACACACACACACACATACACATTCATACACACACACACATACATATTATACGCGCGCACACACACACACACACACACACACACAAACTGGAAGGAAGTTTAGCGATGCTACTGTGTCGCGCATGCCAAGTGTCTCCCTGTGGGTTTACTATTATGATAGCATACGTTTGCCATCTACACCTGACCTGCTTCTACACCTGACCTGCTCCCTAAGTGTTCTCTGGCATGCATAGAAATCAGGGTTGATGATATTCGGCATCACATGGGATTACCGACCGTCATGCCTACGGTTGCATGTATCGCCGGGTGGCTTGCAATCGCAGAATGCAACTTTCCACTTGAACAGTGTTGAGCTTCACCTTACTACTATTGTCGATATACTGTCAGAGTGCTCTATTTATCTAAAGTTTTCAACGCACATTTTTTTCTGCCAATATGCTGCACCGATACTAGCAGTTTGGTCATAAGTTACCAAGAGTATAATTATACCCCCCCCCCACCCCCCAGAGTGTGCAACTCTCTCTCTCTCTCTCTCTCTCTCTCTCTCTCTCCCTCTCTCTCTCTCTCTCTCTCTCTCTCTCTCTCTCTCTCTCTCTCTCTCTCTCTCTCTCTTTCTCTCTCTCTCTCTCTCTCTCTCTCTCTATCTCTCTCTCTCTCTCTCTCTCTCTCTCTCTCTCTCTCTCTCTATCTCTATCTCTCTCTCTCTCTCTCTCTCTCTCTCTCTCTCTCTCTCTGTTTTTGGTGCACAAAAACATCTCTGGCGTTGATTGCTTTCTTGCTTAGACATCTGCTGTGCCTTTCTTCTCGTACTCCCCTCTATGTACTAGTGTTGTGCAAACCCTCCTTCTAGTCTGTCTCATCTTGCCCCGAGATGTTTTGATGCATAGTGATTATGACGCTCATCATTCGCTCCCTTGTCACTGGACAGTTCTGACCGTGACCGTTTGGTTTTAGCGAATTCTAATAAAGAAAACAACAACCACAACAACTCCTGATACCCTTTCTATGGTGCGTCTATGGTGCGCCGATGCCGAAAACTCACATCACGTGGTGTAGTGTCGCAGTCGTACGTTTCCAGCTTGTTTTTAGCGAGCAGCGGAGTGATAATAAAACACTCCCTGGCAGAAACTCGGGCTGCGCGTATGCAAATCGCCAGCATTATCGCGGCAGATTTTCGGATTACGCTACCCTTAGTTGTACGTAGTACGAAACATACCGGAGACACGTGATGTGAGTTTTCGCCGTCGGAGACCCCATATGCAGAGTTGCACACTCTTGGGGGGCTTATATACTCTTGGTCCTACCCATTTTCTCATGACCATGTTCATATTTCTCTGTCCAAGTTCTCAGCTTTTCCTTCATATTGCATGTTGCCCTGGGATACACCGGTGGTAGTCATTATTTCTAGGTACCTTCATCTGTCACTCTACCACAAGCTAAAACTCGTTTTGGTCTCTTTTCAAGTTGCTTTCATTGGCTCCGACCGCTCGAATACACTCCGCTTATGCTCTTCGATGCACCTATACTGTAATTCAGTACTTTCATTTCTAGGGTACCCTCTAAGAAGGCCTTTTGAAATTGTAGGCCTGTCGGGCCCGGGGATTGCCCTATCAAAAATTTGATAATAAAATAGTAATAAAATAAAAATATCCATAATAAATTATGTCCTTTTCTCTTCTACAAATAAAAATAATTAGTCCATTTCAAAAAGATTTGCAATCCTGGTGGGAGTTTGCCGTCTTACCGTATGAGCGCTGCCTAGCCCTTGGCGGATTATGCCGGCATAATATTTGGCAAAATCTTGGGATTTCGTCAAAAAATTATGCTCCTGCATAATATACGTATTCCAACGTGTACGGTCGCCATAATCTTTTGGTTTAGACAAAAATTATGCTTAGGGCATGGCCGTGTGTGCGGCGTGGTTTCTCAATCCTCTATGTACAGCGTGAATACATAGTGGAACCGAGCATAATTCAGCATAATTCAGCATATTAATTTGTTGGCATAATTGTGGCATAATCAAAAGCATATGATTTGACGATTGGCCGAGCATAGTCTGCCAATGGCTAGTCTGAAGGCACGCGAGAAATGAACGAAAATGCATTGGTCCGACATGTACAGTCTGTGGCTTTGATTGATTGATTTTATTTATTTATAGTGGTGACTATAACTAGGGTCCAGCGGATAATGCTCCGAAAATGTTCGTATAATGCTATTAAACCATAATGCTCCAGAAACTGCCTTATAATGCTGATTATAATTCTTCAGCAAGGGATATAATGCTCTTGGTTTGGGACAAAAATGGAAGAAAGTCTGCACATTGTCAAACTTCCAGGAAATTATGCATATCGTCGATCTGCATCTGAAGTTACCACCTTATCTCTCACGAGCTCCACCACTTCTTAGCACTATAAGACATGATCGCTTCTCCATTGATTGCTCTCCATTCCAACTTTGATGCAGGGTTGTGGCAGAATAGTCGGTGTATCAAATCCCTCCCCTAATTATTCATGTAGTGAGAGATGAAACCATTATTGCAGGTAGTCATTCATTGTTGGGATGAAGTTAATCTTGGCAAATAGTATTCCTGCCTGCAGACAAGCTGTCACTGCGTCCACTCTGTGAATGATGTCTTCATCTGAAACACCAGACGTGAGGCCAGCTCCTGAGATCCGATCTCAGATGGAGAGCCCTCCAATTTGCGGAAATCCTGAAAACACGTGGTCAGAAGTTATTTTGCCACTTTACATCCTTTGCTTGTGACTCATATCTTCCGAGTCCTTGAGATGGTGTGTAGACGTATGGCTTGCCACAATACTCTTCCTTTCTGATAGCATTTGACTGTAGGCCTGGCATTACAACCATCCACAACTAACTGTACGTGCTTCATGAGGAAAGTAAGACAGGCGCTGCTGAGCAATCGACTTGGTACTGAGTCCATGAGAAGATCTAGTTCTTTTCGAGCCTCCTGAGCTGGACTCAGCAAAGACAGTTCTTTTGGAACGAGCTCTTTCTGTATAGCCGCTCCTTCATCCTGGTCCAAATATAGCAATGCATCAGTGTCTACTTCAGTATCGCTAGAGATGCTATCGCCAGAGCCTCTGGCACAACTAGAAAACTCTTCTTCGTCTGTTTGATATTCACTTCGCGTATGTCTCCTCCATAGCTCTCCATTATTCTAAAAGTAAAAGAAACCTCGTAAATAATTTCTCCGGATTTGTGCCACTTGAACTGCCTCGGCCTAGCGCCTCGGTTGGGCATGCTTCACAAATGGCTTGTATACATTTACCTGACCACATCGCTACAATCATAACGTTCTTATGCAGCAATAGTTATGTAGAGTTAGTGCTAAAGGTGTTACCAAGAGTCCATAACCCACACAGGACGTCTTTCCCCGTCTGGCCAATCACTCTCCACTCACAGCTTTTAAAAAAGGTGTCAACAAACACATTTCAGACCAGCCATGGTCTTGGGACGTGCTTTGAAGCCCATCATGTTGATCGTCTCACTGTTCTCTCCAGATCGCACCTCTCGGTTTGGGGATGTGCATTGAAGCACCCCATACTAACGGTCTATACTGTCCTCTCTTGGTCACCACTCTCCCTATTACCTATATTGTAATTACCATTCATGTATTGCGCTTCAGATTTTCTTCCGTTTTTGTCTCTTGGTGCGTTACCGGCATGGCGATACTGAGACCTAATGGTCAGTGGAGTGCCTGTAGCCTCACCAGCACTGCTACTATCTGTGACTGTGGCGACCACCATTCAATGTCTCGTCCTCCCCTAACCGTACCCCAACTCTCTCTCTCTCTCTCAGCTCTCTTATTATCTGTCTTTTCTTACTCTTTTTTCTTTGTCAGCTTTCCTGGTGGTTATGTGCTTTTCAAGTAAATAAAAAAAAACAAAAAAAAACAAAAAAAAACACAGGGTTATGGACTCTTCGTGTTACGTGTCTACACACTATCCAATCAGTGATCACATAGGGTACCCTGTAAAAAGGCCTTAGGCCTGTGGGGGATTGCCCTATTCAAAATTTAAATAACATTAATAATCACAAAGTCATGCGCCGGTACAATGCATAGTGTTCAAATGCCCGGAATGGGCGGAGCGCAGTACGCATGAGGTACACACAAGGAGAAAAATAGGGCTGTTTCGTTGTTACTCAGAGTTTCATGGCAAAAACCAATCATCAGACAACATCTCATGATCATGATTGTAGCCGATTGTTGCCAAAAAACCTGAGATTTCCCGATATTATCCACTATGAAACTCGTTATGCCGCTCAAACCTCACATAATGCTCGTTTTGTTCCTTTCTAATGCTCCATAATGCTCCGATGCTCGAATAGTCTTATAATTAGTGTTGAAACGATCTCACCGGATACTCGTTAGCTCGCTCGCCAGAAACTCGGCTCGTTTGTGCGGCCAGCTCGTTTGCACTAATGAACACCGTACATGTACACCGTACTCCGTACACATGGCAGTACATGTCGACCGGGGAGTCGTAAAATATTTTACGACTCCCTGGTCGATCGAGAGTCCAGTCCCGCGCAAAGTGAAAATCACTCGCAGTTACAGTGACTGTATGCCTGCACGACACTTGAGTTGTTTCTGTTGTAGTTGCAGCTTTGGTGGACTCTACTGATGTCTTGTTCCGCATCTGCTGACCTGTCACAGGATATGCTTCGGTCACCTCTCCATTCGAGTGAAAGTAAAATTATTACGCTCAGTCGTTTGGAAGTTTTCTCCCGCGATGCAGCGAAGACTACTTGCAATCTTTGCAAAACGGTCTATTCTTACAAAGGCTACTCGACGACTGCGCTGAAAAGACACCTCGACACCAAACAGCAGTCCGAAGTGAAGCAGCAGCAACCCCAAATGCCGGCGGTGATAATTTGAACCAGCTGAAAAAATCGAACTTAGAAAAAAATTATTCAAAAAATCATATTTGCCACATCAATGAAACTCGTTAGCTCGCTCGATAGCTTGCTCGTTAGTGGAACTGATCGCTCGTTTGTTATAGATACGCTCGTTTCAACACTACTTATAATGCCAAATATAATGCCGGCATTATCCGCTGGACCCTAACTATAACAGACAATTGCCTAATAACAATAGACCCACTCGAGGGAGAGATGCAAAAAGATATGATTATAGACTATTGTATAGGTGATCATGTTCGCATTTTGCATAGCTGAAAGTCATAAGTACTAGCGTGAAAAGCAAGGCATTGGGGTAACAGTTTCTTAAAACGGGTGGAGTTATCCACACAGCGAGCTAGAGGGTGTAGATCATTCCACAGCTTAGCACATTGCCATTGGAAGGAAGCACCATGACGGGCAAAGGCAGTTCTGAGCATGGGCAACTTTAAAAGAGTGCGTGATACAAGGCTGCGCGTTGCAAGATCATTATTTAAATGCTCGAACATTTGACTTAATGTGACACTACAGCGGCCTTCCAAACAGCGCCACGTCAGATACAGTAATTTCTTGCAATACATGGATGCCAAACGATCTAGACCAAGTCTCGCAAATAAAGTTGCGAAAGTACTGAGTAAGTAATTAGTTAGTTGCGATTTCTTCCAAAACAACGGAAAGTTGCAGCAAACGTGGCGAGCATCTTTGGGAAAGGGCTAACACACACACACACATGTGCATACACACACACATACACACACACACACACACACACACACACGCGTACACGTACACCACCACTGGCTTGCACAACCGCACAGTGGCACATACAATAATGTATACGACACCACATCACCCACACTGTAACAGACATTTGGTCCGTCTGTAGCCGCTGTAACCACATGGTGCACGACATGCATAATACACGTTGACCATGGCTGCTGGGCATGTAGCCTTGGCAGCATGTGTCAGTTCGTCTGTTTGTTCCCCACCCGAAAAGGCATATTTTGGGCAACGACGCAGACACTGACACTTCATCTTGTGTGTGAGTGACATTGACACAGTCTGAGT